GACGACGTTAGTTAGTTAAATGACTAGGGTAGGGCCATAAACATAATATATAGAAATCTAGAAAATACTTCACCGGTGCCCTTATACGAAAAATAATTAGAGAGTTCGACGAAAAGTACGGCGTACGTACTTAATGAGAAATATCTCTTATCTAAATTAAGTGAGGGTATACTTAGTTTCACTATAAAGAGCTACTTATAACCTACGCCACGTAAAGGCGATACTCTTATAGATCGTTTTAAGGATTCCGACCTACCCCTAAGGATAAGTATTACTCTACTATTCATATATATTCTATGTTTTAGGAAGGTCCCGACCTACCTTCTAAGGATAATATTACTCTACTATTCACTTATATTCTATATGGCTCTAATGTTAGTACTATAAACGAGAAGAACGACGTCGTTTAGAGACATCGTTATCCCAGCGACTATAGACCTAGAGACGTTCTTAATTTATATATTCGATCTATATTTTAGGGCTACGAAAAGTAGCTAACCATACGTTCGGCACTCTCTAGCGAGCGCGGACGACGACAGCGGAAGAGAAGAAAGAAATAATAGTCTTCTTTAAGATCGGCGAAGCCGAAGAAGAGAAGAGAGAAGAGAAGAAGTCACTAAAATAACTAGTACTCTAGTCTATTTCACTATTAGTAATTTCTTACTCGAATCGAATAGAAAGAATAAGTATATCGAAACCCGAGCTAAAATTCTTCTTATCGTTATTAACGAAGGTAGAAGGGGCCGGGAGAGAGGAAGTCACTATTCTAATTAGTATTATTTCTTCATCTCTTAATATCACTAATAAAAGGTGAAAACGTTCATTAGAATATCTAATAAATACTAAACTTCTCTAAGATCGGAGAGATCGGTATCGTCGCTAACCTTATAAGTACGGTTAGCTTTTCGAAATATAGGCTTAAGCCTCTATATCTAGGACTTAAGCTATTCTCTAAAATAGATATTAGTGATTCATTATCTAAATCGGGTGAGAAATATCTATATCTAATCGGCTAAAATAGCTAAATCACTACTAGTAACGAAAATTACTCTCTCGATGAGAGCTTAAAGGGCACGATAACCTATCTATAGGTTAACGGGGACCTAATTTATTTAGTATATCATTAATCTTAGCTGAATTCTCACTTACGATAACGTAGTTAGCGCTAGGCCGGGAACGAGAGTAAAACCCACACGACTTGAACTAAGTTTAGTCGTAGAGTAAGGTAGAAAAAACTAGCTCGGAGCTAGGGGTAGACGGAGAATTCGTAAAACCGCGGAAAGCGCTTCTTTCGTTAGTACGCTATCATTATTTAGATATAGTAGAACTTATAATTCTTATTAATAAGGCTAGCACCATAGCCTAACTAAGACTAAGTGTTTAGCCGAACTTTCTCGTACGTAAGAGGCTATATATACGTTAGTAGCGTCTCTCACCCGAGTCGAATAGATAATACTTATATATCTTATAGTTAATCTAAACGAGAAAGAAAGAGATAAAGAAAGCTAGAGTAAAGGACTTAAGAACTAAAGTAAAGACTAAAGTGAATGGCTATTTAACTACTATGTCATTATCTTTATCATTAACAATTAAGACGGCCTACCTATATAATGAATTAAGGCTATCTTTATACTTATAGCGACCCGAGGGCGAGCCGCTTTTTAGAGAGGGGGTAACTATCACGAGCTCACTATTGTCCCTAAGTACTCTACGCCCTCTACCTAAATCGAGTGAACGGTATAGAAAGAAAAGAAAAGAATAAGATAAAGAACGATTAAGATATAAGGCTATCGATTAACGCTATCTTACCCTTTTTACGTAATAGAAAAAGAGGAAGCTATAAGAGTCTTCTCTTACCTAAATCGGCTAAGAGAGAACTCTTTCTTTTTCTTAAGCGTTAAGTCGTTATTAATAGAACTACGTAAATAGAATAAGATATTTAGCTACTTTAATTTCTTTATATCTACTACGTTACGTAGGTCCCTAATAAATCTCTACTACGTCTACTCTTATTATCTTAATTTCTATACGACTATAGTAAAGCGCTCTTTTAATACGACCTAGTTTAACGAGTATAGAACGAGAAAGTTTAATATAGCTTATAAAATCGGAAGAAGAACGCTCTATTCTTAGGAGTCGCGAATAAATAAATTAAATAAGAAATAATTCGATTAATATCTTAGGCGTTATAAAGAGATCGCGACTATAGACGATAATCTCTAGTCTAGGCTTCGTAGCTCTAAGTTCCGGCTATAATCTAAGTATAAAGAAGTCGAGAATTTTAGAACTCTTCTATAGAATCGAGATCGAATAGTAACTTATAAACTAAGAAATGCGTATTACTAGTTCTTTCGAAGTCGTTTTATCACTATACTTTCTCGGAAGAGATACGCTCAATAACTTATTAAATTTAATTCCGAATTCTAGAAGCTCTATTATATTCGCGTAGTTAATAATTTAGAAGTATATAAGATAGACGAACTACGGAAGAAATATATCCTTAGTTAATCGTAAAGATATATAACGATACTACGAATTTAGAGCTAAAAAGATAATCGACGTATTAAGCTTACTTACTAAATATATATCTAAACGATATATATCTATCTATCTATATATAGTCGAGAAAGAAATCGCCTTATACCTAGAAGAATTAAAAAGAATCGCTGCGCCTTATAAAGATTCTATAAAGAATCTCGAATAATTAATAAAATAGTGAAAAGAAAAGTTTAAAATAATAAATTACTAAGTTTTATCTAGTTATTCCGACTATAAGACTATCGATGTCTCGAGTAGTACTCTTTAGAGCGCTCTACTAGATTCTAGATATAATGAATAAGTTAATTAGTCTTTCATCGATGCGGAAATTATAGTAAGCCGGAAAGAATTATATATAAGATGTACTATTATCTTAGACGCCGCGTTTCTTTTCTAGATTAACTAATATAGAAACGTAAACGCACCGGTGAAATTTAAAGCCTAAGGAAACGTCGACGATAGTATAAGACGACTCATTATCTTTAACGACGACTTAATAGATAAAGGACACTATTAGTTAATCTTTATAATCGATGAGATAACGTAGTCGTACTCGGTCATTAATTCGATATAAGGTAGATTAGATACGACTAAGATAATACTCGATTTCTTCGTTCGGTAATTAAAGAATAGCGTTTTCAGTATTTCACCCCGGGAAATTCGCCTAGAATCTAATCTTTAATAGAACATTAATAGTTATAAGCTCTAGGTGATTAAGAATTCTCTAGCGATCATTAATACGGAAACTTACGAGATCACTCACTTATAAATAGTCTTATCTAACACTTAAGTCGATATCGAGAATCGTTTCATTATCGCCTTAGAGATCTATAAGATAATTATGCGTAAACCGAAGCGTAGTGAAGATTTAGGGGCGTTAAAGGGCTCGAGTTCGAAGGAGTTAGATAGGAGATAATTAGATAACTTCGTAGAGCGTTTAAAGAATATAAAAAAGAATTAATGTTTCCGAGAAGAATAGACGAAGATTATAGTTAAGTCTTAAGTGAGGTCGTTAAGGAAGCGAGCGACAATGGGAGGAATATAATGGAAGAAGTTGGAAGTGGTGAATAGCGTTATGATTGGCTGGGGCGCCGACCCTAGACTATGGTTTTTCTTATATAGTTCTAAGGGAGGACTATCTTTCATACAATAGATAAGAAACTAAGTTACTAACAGAGAGGACTTCCCCTAGTTGAGTGTGCGCGTTAAGAAGAGGCTATACTTACCGCCGTACGAGTTAATGTCCATGGCTAGTAGTCTCGCCCTAATTCAGTATATTACGTGACTTAGCCTTGCTCCTTTATAGATCCCTCTGAGTGTCTAATGAACGTGGTAAGTTGCGTCCGTGTAACTCGTGATCGGTCTCTCCTAAGGCTATGTCTAACACTATGACTGCGCTCTGGTTTTTAAGAATGTTGGGGTTAAGCCCCTTTTAAATTTAACAATAGAATATAATGTCATTACGTAATAATTAACATCTAAAAGTACTCCGTACGTAAGATAGTAGTCGTTTTTGTGGATCCTTCGCGTCGTCTCCACCTATCATAGGAACTCGTAATAATTATAACCGTTTTAATGAGTTAGTTAGCTTAACTGCTAGTCGCATCATGGGACTCACGGTTAAAAGGGCCTCGATCGTGATTCTTCCTAGATTTACATTTATTATAAGAGAGTAAGTAGATTTTAAGACTAAGTAAATTAAAGCGATATCGAAATCATTAAATTAGCTAATAGAGAGAAAGACTTCAACATCGGAATCGGGCAGCGATTATTAACGAGAGGTAGGGGCGTTTTGACGTTGGTCACTCAGTAGAAGAATTAAGAGTGTGGGGGGACACTACTTAAGGCTATAAGACTTATCTAACTATTGAGAGTGCGGGTGGTTCACATCTCACAGCACCTAGTTAGGGCGCTAAGCTGCGACGGTAATTTCATGCCGAATTTCCACGGCTTAGCCTCGAACTTCCTCGGTGCCTCTCTTACCTTCTACGTCTCCTTCGTTGCGCGGCGAGACCGTTTACGGGTAGTACTATATCGTTGGAGAATAGTGGGTATAGTACATGCTCTCTAGATGTCAGCGCTAGGATTAGGTTAAGTGATAAAAGGATCGAAAGTTGCCAGGTAGCAGGCTTAGCTGAAAGAAATGAGGTGTTACTACTGGGCAACTGTAGCCGAGGCCCCAAAGAGGACCCCTAAGCCTAAACTGGCTTCTGCGAATGGGCATCAGGCAGCGCTCCTTGTGGCTCGCCCAGTGCTCGGGCGCGCTCTCCCGTACTCTGCCGTGGCCCCCTCGACGCTCCCCCTGGCTCGGCCGGAAGCCCTCGATGCTCCCTCACGTGCACAATAAAAGCGGCCTGGCTCCCTTTCCCGAACGAAAGTGGTAATGGACGAAGCACAGTTCGGGGCATATATAATGTATATATATATGAAAACGAACTCAACAGCCGGCTCTTCATTCCCATCTACCTAGTCCACAACACCGCCCCCCCTTCGACTCCATTCCTCCTCAACGGGTTCTCGCCCCCTTTGCCGTCCTCAGCCTCGCTCACATAGCCAACAAGCTCCTTGAAGCCGCACTTGCGGTAGAATTCTTCCTTGCCCGCGGCGGCCATCACGCACGCGGGCAGATCTCCGCCCATCGCCGGATCACGTCGCGCCAGGTGTTCCAGCCCGTGCTCGACGAGCTCCCGCCCGTAGCCCCGCCCCTGGAAGGTCGGGTGCACGGCGAGGATCTCAAGCGACCAGTGGGTCATGCGGTGCGGCGCGTCCATGAACTGCGTGCTGAATGGGAGCAGCGACGCGCCCAGCGCCCAGTACGTGAGTGGTCGCGGGTTCTCCGCCGTTGGACGGACGGCGGCTTTGTTGGGGAAGAGGATGAGCCTCCGGAGTCGGTAGTATGTGGACAGGATGGGCTTTATCAAGAGCCCTGAGGGCGCATGTTAAACACGATGTTAGTTAGTCATTCCATACAGCACTTTCAATAAATCGGTGGTTGCATTGGGGGATGGATGGCTTCTTCGAACTTACGCGGATCCCAACGTCCCCAGAGTCCATGGACGCGGAACGATCTCTCCCCAGCGCGTTCCCATTCAGCGATGCCAGTGATGGTCTGGCCTTCTCCTCTGACGGTTGACTTGCCCGTCGGCCTCGACGACGGTATCAAGGCTTGTCGCTCATCGGCGTACCTGTCGTACTGACTGGCTGTCCCAATACCATCACCCTCGACCTCATACGAGACCATCAACACTTTCCGGTAGTCGTACCATGACAGCCAGAGGCTCTCGCGCAGCGCCCGTTCAAAGTCCTCCGGATGCTGGTGCTGGAAAGGAAACATGACTTGGAAGAGACGATCCGGCCCGAAAGATGCTGCGAGAACCGCGGCCATGACGGGTATGTCGGCCGCTGCGGCGCATCGGACAGGCATCTTGGGGGGGCCAGGGTTTTTTCCGGATTCGGCTTTTTTTCTGGTTTTTCCAACGATGGCCGGGGGAATAGTTCTAGTAACTCGTAGTGGTAATGCGTAAGAACTTAATGGGGGAGTGTAAGAACTGCTTCCGTCGTGTTTGAGTGCCCTCCTCCTACGTATCCTGGCTGGCGGGCAGACAGGCAGGCAGGCAGGGGGCCCTTATTTCTGAGTTCAGCTTCTGTACCGAGTACTGTAAATGGGTGGATTCGATGGATCTTGACTCCTGAAATGTTATCTTTCAGTGTTACGGGGGGCACGAATAGTACGAGGTACTCGTCGGCTTTTACGAGTAAATAGTAGTACGTGGTAGTTCATTTCGCCATCATCCTGATCCACTCCCCTTTACCGAGCCATCACGCACTACTGCCAGTCCGGGTCTAGTGACCAGCCCCCTTCGCAAAGAATGTCATACTCGCTCTCCGCCTATGGAGCGCTGGGCTGGGTGGCTTGGGGCCCCCGGTTAGTCCATTAAGTTAGATCGGTCACTTCTGCCCCGGGGGCGGCATTTTTGCCACGGAAACGATTCTCATTCCCCCCCTTCGGATGTTGAAAACCTTATTGTTAAAGTCGACTTCCTTCAGTCGCAGTCGGCGCCCTCCCTGGCCCCCAGCCATAACGACCATTCCGACAAGATGCGGCGGAACAAGTATTTTCTGTGGCTGCAATATCGGTCAACGGGATTTCCCCCGGCTCAGCAATAGATCGTCGTAGCGGAAAAGGGGCACCAAAGGGGAGACTCGTACGGCTCTGTATCGAACGCCGCAGACGCGAATTGCAAGCAGTGATCCCAGGTATATCAGTATTTAACGTGGGGAGGCTCTGAAGAGGCTCCGGTCCTCACTAATGCGGGTCTTCTAGGAATGTTGGCCATGGCTTTCTCTTCAACACGATATCCGCTTTCGATTCGGGCGTATTGGTGTCAACAAATCTGTGTATAGAGTTGAATATTCGTTCGTCCAGGCTTGAGACGCCGCAGGACATGAACTTATAAAGCCGCCTATCAATCCAACCCGTTCTATGATGCAATGATAAAACAGGGAGGGAAGTCGGGTCAGCGATGTCCTCCATCGGAAAGCATGCCTCCTGTCCAGGGAGGGAATGTCCTTCCCTATACCAAATTTCTCCCAGGGTAAACTTTTGCTTTTGTGTAATGATGCTCAACGCGACGCCATGGATGAAGAGACACTTAATTCATCGTTGTTCATGACGAATTGTGTATTCTACGTCCTTGCGAATGATGAACTCGTCGCTGTTATGTCTCCCAAGTGAGCCTTCTTCATGCGAAGCATTCGATCTGCCGTCATTGTTGATCCCCTCATTGTGCGGGCCCTCGACGCTCGCGTGATACTGTGTGTGATTAGGAGGGCAGAAATTGATGCCCGTACTCTTTCCCAAGACCTCGTCGGCCTTGTCATTTTCCATCCGGGTGTAGTTCTTCGTATCCTCGGTTTTGGACCGCTGAGCACCGAGCGAGTCCATTTGGTAGGTGCGTCCGCCAGAACCGTATTGGCCGGCGTTGTATCCAAACACAGTTGCTTGCGTTGTGTCGAATTTGCGGAGGTACTGATTCAAGGCCGGGATAGCAGCGGAGAATAAGGAGTAGACGACCTCAGCCTGGCGAAAAAGAACAGGTCGTGTGAGCGCGATGCCAGCGTTAGATGCTGAGTTGAAGTCTGAGACGTATTTGATTTGGAGGCAGGTAAGGATAACGATCCTGCGGCCGGTTAGCATGTGTTCGTGCGGGCTCATGTAAGTGTTTCCCCTACGGTAATCTGAGAACAAAGCACATGGACGCTTGAACCTTTCTCTGAACACTCATATGCAATGGGAAGATGACGATAACGGAAAGACCCCAAATGATTAGTTCCAGCAGCGCATCGAACAAGCCAATGATGATCCAGCGTGTGACCTGTACTTTGATCAACGATTCTTGTATAGCAGTAGCAGTGTTTTGGGGCTAAACTCACCAGTCCCGAGCACTTTTCCGTGCTCGATCGAATGACTTCGCTGGATGTACATCCGGCCGTGGCTGTGATGGTGGATCCAATCCACCATATTCCACAGAGAGCAATGGTTATTTCGCAGTACAGATGTTTCTGATGCTGTCCAACGGCGAAAAGACGCCTGCAGAGCCAGACGGCAGAGCATTTGCCAACGAAGAGGGCTAACAGGAAAAGAACGTCTCCTGCTCGAAGCGACTGGTAATCTCCATCAGCCCGAGCCTACATTCAGAGTGTCTTCGGGGTGTACCTTGGCGACTGTTTCTGTATCGCTAGGAGAAAGCAGCGAATATGAAGAACCAAAGCCACCGTCGACTGTTGCTACCATGATGGATATGAACTGTGGAATTGCGATAGCCTGCCGATCATCAGCTTCCCTCCAGAAATAAACAGAAAGGGCACTGAATAAACCGTAGCAGCGACGGAGAGCCAGTCTTCGAAACCCATGTTCCTGAACTTGCTCACCAGACGCATTCCCAGCACCATGAGTGAGTAGACCATGAATAAAATGCTCATTGTCAAGACGATGCCCCGGTGGTCATTCTCGGTGTGGTGGTATGGACGCGGGCCCAAGGCAGGCACCTCACCTGCAGACACACTCATATTGATGGCTGAGGCTCGAGATCATTGAAGGTACCTCTTCCAGCAAATGTCGGGGTTACTATATGTGAGGGTGCAGGCTCTTAACAGAGTGCAAGCGAGTAACCAGTTGTTTTTGGCACTGGGCTATGACACTCCATTATCTGAGAGACTGCAAGGTTGGGCGCAACGCTAGCGCAGGAGATCTTTTCCCTTACCTTGTTTGTACCTTGGGCCAGAGACTTGGTGACTGGCTCCTGACTTGCCATGGACGACATGATAACCATGTCGACATGGGACTTTCTGGGCCAGGGTCCGAAACTGCAAAACTCCTCCTCTGCAGCGTGATGCCTTGTATGTTTTGCCTCTACTCAGCTGATGGCCCCAAGCAGGCCGCGCCATCAAGGTCCGCTATGCAAAGTTAGCTTTCCGTGGAATATCCCCTTGGACCGTGGATTGGCCACTGAGGCTTCAGTTTTGCTTCAGCCGACTTTAACCCTTGTGTGCCCAGGATGGGTTACAAGTGGTTAGGGAAAACACTGGGCGCTGGCAGAGGCGCCTCGGGAGGACTAGGAGACTTTTCCAACGTAAACAAGGATGCTATCGGCTCTTAAAATTGCTGTTGAGTGAGTCGGTTTGTCCATGGATGGTGCAGAGGGAGACCTCGTACGTACTTCGAGTTCAGCACACAGACCAGTCGTCGCCCTTATGCACGGGAACCCACTTGCCATTGCCCCGGGCGTATCTTCCTTCAGCCACTGCCGCCCAGCTGCGGGGCGGTGGTGGTGACGGGAGGAGGATGATCAGCGCGGGAACCCACCTAAACAGGTAATGATGCCTTACCATTCGTCTCTCAAAACATTAAAGCTGGAGGCGGTCATGGATACCGCCACGCCGTGCGCAGCCTAAGTCGAGAGGAAGCGAGTTTCACTCAGAGCTTGCGCCATCCTATCTGTGCTCATGAGAGATAATAGTTCGCATGACAACCGCTCGAATTTCCTCCATACCTATGGGGCGATATACATACGGCAGAACAAAATATGCCATGCTCTGTGAGAAATCCCCAAATGTTGGTCTGAAATCCCTGCCACGATGACATATATACATGGTGTAGGTTTCAGCGGTTCTGCCAAGTAACCAAAATGGCTCTCTGGCACGTTCGAGAGACGAAATGGTGTTTTGGAGTCTCGAGCTCGAGCCATTGTGACAATCAGTTGCTACCAAGGAGCTTAGCTTTTTCCATTACTCGGTACGGACATATGTGGCCTTTCCGGTGGCATTTCCGTCCTTGTGAGCCCTAAGGCACCGTCATACTCCGCACTTTTCCTAGTCTCGCACTTAGCCAGCTCTTGACGCTGGCCGGAGACTTGTCTATTCCCTGCACTGTATGTGCTGCGTCCTGTTCTTTGGATGCACTTCCAGGGTAGCTACCGTTCAAACTGATCGATGCGGCACCATGTGGCCAGGGAGCTTCAACAGACAGGATCCTGCGGAGGTCATTTCTTTTCCGGTCAAGACTCAACGGCAAGGGATGGGTGGTGGATACACCGCGACAGTGACCACAAGATCACAGGGATCTCAGTGGTGGACTAGCTTTAGTAGCTCATGCAGCTGTGTTGGCACAGTCGTCTGGGATACTGATATCCCTCCTCTCGGCCAATCAGCCACCCATTTTCCTCGACTAGAGAAGCAACCGACCAGTTTCCATGTGGCTTAATCTCGCCGCGTGGAATGAGGTCTTGCAGCTCCGTGAAATAGTCAGAAGTAGGACCCTTTGCCTGAAGGATCGGTCTTTTTTCCAGGCCTCGCTTTCCAGGTCCTGAAGAGGCTCGACAGGTTTCTCTCCACAGTTGAACTACTGAGCCTCGTACCTCGTGCCATGTGGGGATTGGAGGGCTCCTCGACCGGGAAATACCCCCTCTCTTCATTCGATCTTCTCTCTGCTCTGCTTTTCTTTTTTTCCTTTTTCCTTTTCACAACCGTTTCAAAGCACAATCTTACGAAATGGACAAGGCCGTCCCGTACAGCATTGACCCTACCGAGGACATCAACGACGATGGCGTCGTCCTCGGTGAGAAGACGGGAACGGTGGCAGACAGGAATGCTATGGCGCGATTGGGCAAAGAACAGGTCTTCAAGGTCAGTTAGCAGCATTACTTGGTCTCGGATGCGAGTCTCTGACCAGGTGAACAGCGTAACTTTGGTTTCGTGTCTATCTTCGGCTTTGCTCTCATCATCATGAGCACCTGGGAGACGATTCTGTCGACTCTGGCCTTCGGATTGGGCAATGGCGGCCCTGGAGGACTTATCTGGACCTTCGTTGCGGTGTACATTGGATTCATTCTCATCAGTGTTTCAATGGCCGAAATGGCCTCCATGGCTCCCACCTCGGGTACGATTGTTTTGGGCATTTTCTGGAGAAGACCAACGCTGACATATTTGTGCGACAAGGCGGTCAATATCATTGGGTCTCTGAATTTGCTCCTCCGAGTGTCCAGGCATTGTTGTCATATTTCATCGGGTGGTTTGGCATCCTCGGCTATCAGATTGGAACAACTATCGGCGCATTCGTCGCTGGGACGATGATCCAAGGCGTCATCATCCTGAACAATCCCGACACGTATACACCTCAACGATGGCATGGAACCTTGATCGCGATGGCTATAACCATTTGTGTGGCCCTATTCAATATTTTCCTCGCGAACCACCTTCCATTGGTCGAGGGAATCATCCTGGTGCTCCACATTGCTGGGTTCGTGGCTATTCTGGTACCTCTCTGGGTGATGGCTCCACGTACTCCAAGCTCTGAAGTCTGGACCTCCTTCACTGATGCCAATGGCTGGGGGAGCAGTAAGTTTCGCAGCAGCTTAGCAGAGGGAATCAAGCTGACCATCCACAGTTGGAGTCGCCTGCCTGGTCGGTATGATCACCAATGCTGGTGCGTTGGTCGGAGGCGATGCCGCTGCGCATATGGCCGAAGAGTTGAAGAGCGCCTCGAAAATCCTCCCAAGGGCGATGATCTGGACCATAACCGTGAATGGAATTCTCGGATTCGTTATGCTCGTGTAAGTGGCCATGTCCTTCATTAAGAGGTCGCTTCTTGCTAATACAGCGTCAGCACCTTCCTCTACACACTGGGGAACCTGGATGATGACCTCGCATCGGCGACCGGTTATCCTGTCATTCAAGTGTTCGCCACGGCTACCGAGTCCAGTGGAGGCGCTGTCGGTCTCACCACAATCCTCATCATCCTCAACGTGTGTGCAAACCTAACCACCATGGCCGGCTCTTCCCGTCAACTGTTCTCCTTTGCTCGAGACAAGGGTGTTCCTTTCCACCACTGGGTGTCCCGGGTACCACCTGGGTACGACGTGCCGGTCAACGCCATCATTGTCTCCGCCTTCTGCTCATGCGTTTTCCACTGCATTAACATTGGCTCCTCGATTGCCTTCAACATCATCATGTCCATCGGCACAGTTGCATTGATCACGAGTTATATGACCTCGATCGGCAGCATAACCTGGAGGCGAATCCGTGGGCTGCCTCTTCTCCCATCCAAATTTTCTCTCGGCAAATTTGGCCTTGGGATCAATGTGGCCGCGCTTTGTTTCTGCGCCGTGGTCTATGTCTTCTCATTTTTCCCCCCAATGCCAAATCCACCGCCAGCGGCGATGAATTGGGCCTGTGCCGTATATGGAGGAGTGGTGCTGCTTGCTTCCGCTTACTATGTTATCCGCGCGAGATACGTCTACGTTGGACCTGTGGCTTATGTCAATAAGAATGCTTAAACACCAAATCAGTTCAGAATAGCCACAACAGGACCTTCGAAAAAGCACTGTGGCGTTCGTTGAAAGTACAAGGATCGGGGAGAACAACACGCTGCCTTCTTGCCTCCAAGATTTTCCGTCTAGCTGAAAATAGAACTTTGGTCTCCTTGTCGTTTGGGGTAGAAAAGATTTCCGACTTGTTCCACTCTTTCGTTGAATATCAAGAGTTGACGAGGCTGTAGGGGTCTCTGGTCCCCAGGAGTTTCACAAAAAAGCAGAAGGTAAGCCGAGCACTAGCCTAAGATAACGTTCTCTTGGCATCTTGGCAGGCTGCTAACTGAAAGGATCGCCTCGGACTTGAATCTTCCATCTCGCAGCTCACTGGCACCAGAGGTTCCCAGGTTGGGGTCAATGGAAACGTCTCTTACTCCAATCGCGTGCGACACGGTTACTCGGTTCGAACGAGTTGAAACAGGCATAGCGGTCGTTCTGCGCGTGTGCTTAAGCGAGCCAGCAATGCATACCCAGGCGAGTCCTCTTCACCGCCCCCGATAATCTGCTGAATTGCCCTTCCCCATCATATGAACAGCAGTCGGGATATTAGTAGTAGTAATAAACTTTGCTTGGATCTATCATCCCCCTTCCACCTTGCCGTATTAACCGCCGCTAGCTAGTACCATTACTATCACTTGGGCTTCGGCCGGCTAGCAGAACTGCGACATGAGCTCGTCAGAGACCCGGGCACGTCAGCCAGACGTCAACATTGAGGCCGACGAGGTTGACTCTGCCCTTGGAGATGATCTGTCGACCTACACGCACTCTCTCGCCTCTAGCCTGATCCAGAGCGTGCAGGAAAATGGTAGGGCCTACCATAGGTACAAAGACGGCTCCTACATCCTCCCCGAGGACGACCTTGAGCAAGAACGGCTGGATCTACAGCACGAGATTTTTCTTCTTACATTAGGCCGAAAGCTCTTTCTTGCCCCTGTTCAACGACCAATGCAGGAAGTCCTCGACCTAGGGACCGGGACTGGCATATGGGCAATCGGATTTGCGGACCAGCATCCCGAATCTAATGTTTTGGGCATCGATCTAAGTCCAATCCAGCCGCATGCTATCCCACCAAATTGCAAATTCGAGGTTGATGATTTTGATACTCGGTGGACCTTTAATAGAAAGTTTGATTTTATCCACGGAAGAATGCTCCTTACTGCCAGCGCCGATTTCCCAAGGCTCTTCCGACGCGCGTTTCACGCGTTGCAGCCTGGTGGATGGTTTGAAATGCAGGACCTCTACATGCCATTATTATGTGACGACGGCACCCTCGAAGGAACAGCTTACGGGGAGTGGAATGACACATATATGGAAGCTTGTGCGCGACTCAGAAGAGATCCGTCTTGGACTGCCAAGTACAGGGATTGGATGGTCGAAGCTGGGTTTACGGGGGTGAGACAAGAGATTTTTAGGTGGCCTGTCAACCCTTGGCCGAAGGACAAAACTCTGAAGGAAATAGGAATTTGGAATATGATCAATATGCTCGAAGGACTGGATGGTTTCACGGTTCGACTTTGGACAACAGCACTGGGAATGACAGCAGAAGAAATCCGGATATTCCTTGTGCAAGTGCGAAAAGATTTACGGGATACAAGAATTCACTCCTACTGGCCTATGTGAGCATGCCCCCTAGGCCTCTTCCACTGCGACTAACTCGTTGGTCCGAGATATATCGTATACGGCCAAAAACCAGAAGAATGAATCAGATGAAATGGGTGGTTAGTCTGGGCTCCTATCATTATCTCCTTTAAATCTTGAGTACGAGTTTGAGCAAACCAAGCTGTGGTTTTGGCAACAGGCCCGGAGCTGGTGAGTCTGGAGACGAAGTAGGGAACCGACAGTTTCGAAAATGACAACTTGAGCGCTTCGCACTAACGCGATCAAAGGTCGGCTCCCCTATCTACGAATCCCGACAGGGAAATTGTGAGGGCCATAGTGATCACCCCTGAGATACATATCGAAGTATTTCACCACACTTCGGGGGTTTTTATTTTCCAGCCAGAATGGGTACGCCTTCTCCCCGAATTGCTGGACGGTAACTGCAGCATAAGAACGAACTCATATTCAGCTACGGAAGTGCCAGTAGACTCGCCTTGGTTCCCTTAATTCAGCCGAGTGGATTCACGGACCACGTAGGAGACAGTGTGCTGCAATACTTATTTATGGGAGAATGGGTGTGAAACTAAAGCAACGGGTCAAGAATAAGGCTGTGAGCAAGCGAGTCGAACCGAACAGCACCCAATCACGGCAGATGGACTTGCTTCGAGGACATTCGGAGGCATGAGGCGCTCAACGGCTGCGACCTTTGGGGCAATTATAGGGGTGAGGTTGTGGCGGTGAGGCAAAAACGACGTATGGTGCTTCACAGGACTTTATTACACTCTTCATGCTCATACATCTATGCTTGGTTCACCTTCTCTAGTCAATATCGCTACCATTTACCATCAACCAACTTATTGCAACCAAAAGTACTACCCCGTCGCTATACCCAACCCCGCAAAACCCATCTTTAGCCGACACTCCGCGTGGGGAATCAACTCATCCGTGCGCACAGGATCCCACTCACCATTCCCACCAAGGTCTTTCTAATGCGATGCGACTGTTCAGGCTATGATGCGGCCCTGGTCGGCCGTGTCAATGCCGGCATAACCGCCCGATGAATGTCCAAATTCTGCCTATATGGCCGTTTTGCAATCTAAAGGTCCTATCGGGAAGTCGCCGATACAATGAATCGCATGTGCCGTACATCACCAGTTGACAATGCCCACATACCGCGACGCGATATGGCAGATCGGGTTGGAATATTGTCTCGCCTGCAGATCCCTTCCGTCCATGAACACGGTGCTTGATCTTCTGCGGTGCCCTGATAAGCCTGATGTGCTTCATTTATTTAGGCTATATCCTCACTGTCGATGGACTCGATGATGCCAGGAAGTGGGAGCATAAAGTACACATGAGCGCCAAGTGCACTCTGTACGCGGCCAGCCCCCTATCCCTCTCAGATAGAGGCCTGTACTAATATGGATACCAAGACATACGACATCACGCACTCGGAAGACGTCGCGGCCGGACGGCAGCAACAGCACGAATATGGCGACGTTCAGGGCACCGCACGCATACACGCATCGCGCATGGAAGAGGCTCTTCTGCAAGAGAAGCCGAGACCACTGCGCAAGAGTTTCCTGAAACTGTATGCCTGTATCTTCGTGGCATATTTATGTTCGGCGACCAACGGTTTTGATGCAAACACATTTGGTATGTACCAGATCACGCACTTGATGCACTGAGAAGGTGCTGTGCTCAACACGAATTTCAGGCGGGCTGTCCGCGATGCCACCGTTCATCGACTTCTTCGGCATCAATTCCAACAACCAAGGCTTGATTGCGGCACTGTATGTCATTGGCAATGTGGCTGGCTCTTTTTTCGCCGGACCATGCTCGGACAAATACGGCCGGAGGGTGGGTATGGCCATCGGCTCAACCGTCTGCATCGTCGGCACTATTCTGCAAGCAGCTGCCCAAAACCTCGCGACACTCGAGGGTGGAAGGTTCATTCTTGGAATGGGCGCTGTCCTCGTGCAGACCGCTGGTCCAAGCTATGTCGTCGAAATGGCATACCCGAAGTATCGTGGACAGCTCACAGGCGGCTTTCAAGCTTGTTTCTTCCTGGGCACCATTATCTCGACGTGGCTCGAGTATGGACTGTACTACATCAACACCAAGTCGTCGTATATATGGCGACTCCCCCTGGCGGTGCAGGGCCTCCCGTCCATAATCATCCTTTGCTGCGTCTGGTTCATTCCGGAGACGCCTCGATGGTAAGTAACCGGGCAAGATGTGGACACCACTAGAAGTGAACTGACTGACCTTGTGATGACTTTGCAGGCTCCTAGCTCACGACCGAATCGAAGAGGCGAAAGCCGTGCTTGTGAAGTACCACGGCGACGGCGACCGGGACTCGGTTGTCGTGCGGGTCGAGCTCGAAGAGATGATGGAGGTCATCCGCATGGACGGCGCCGACAAGCGCTTCTGGGATTTCCGCGAACTCTTCAACACGAGGGCCGCACGATATCGCACGTTCCTGGTCACCTGCATCGCCTGGTTTGGTCAACTCGATCTCCCACCGACGAGCTACTACTTCCCGCTCATGGCGAAGACGGCTGGCATCACCAGCGTGCACACGCAACTATTGCTGAATGCGCTTCAGACGCCCATCATGATGGTCGCGGCTCTCTGTGGCCTGCGGTTCGTCGAGAAGCTGGGTCGTCGCAAGGTCTTGATGGTTTCTAGTGCTGGCATGTCCGCATCGGTCGCGATCATCACTGCCTGCACCGCCAACCAGGCAGGGAAGCCAGCGGTGGGCGCCACTGGCGTGGCATTCCTCTACGTCTTTCTCGTCGTCTTTGCCTTTGCGTGGGTACGTTACGCGGCCTGCCTCGCTTATCGTGCGCTTTTGAAGGGGGTGGCTCTCGCTGATTGACCACATCTTTGCACAGACGCCGATGCAGTCGCTCTACCCAGCTGAAGTCCTGACATTTACCGCACGGGCCAAAGGCAAGTCCCTCACTCCATTCCATTCACCTCTCGCCTTTCTCGCGCCACATTTTCTCTCTACTCTGCAAGGCTGACCAATTGACGAATGTACTGTACTGTAGGCATGGCGTACCTAAACTTCATGGTCAACTGCGTCAACGTGCTCAACACGTACGTGCCGCCGGTGGCGATCGCGAATTCCGGGTGGCGCTTCTACATCCTGTATGTAGTGTGGGACGCGTTCGGCGTGCTCGTTATCTACCTCTTCTTCGTCGAGACGCGCGGCCGCAGCCTGGAGGAGCTCGACGACTTGTTCGAGGCCAAAAATCCCAAGAAGGCCAGCTTGGAGTACAAGCATGTCGTCATCAAGAGTGATGGCACTATCAAGGACGCTGCTGTCGCTGAGAGTTGAAACTCCGGAGGAGAGACGAGGCTTGTTGGAGTGGACGGACTTCCCTGCCGACGTGCTTCCGTGAAGAGGGTAGTGAATGCACATCGCGATTCACACCAACCCCAGTTCCGATGGCTCCCCAGGTCCGCTCGAGGAGATGTGCAGATGGACGAGATACGCCCGGTTGTACTCGTACAAGACCCTAGGTCGGGGCGGTCCGGATGGATGAGTGTGAACGAACAAATCAATTTAGCTCCCAGCCGCGTTTGCGACGTATTGCACTGTGTTGCAAATGCAGCGCACCATCTCGACGAAAGGACCACGGCCGAATACATAGCTAGACGAAGCAATGCTACGATGGGTCTGTCAGATGAATGCATCACTGTGTTGTAGGGATTTTACCCAGATACCGATATCTATTCAAACCATCCTGCCAGGCTACGAAACATTGAGTAAAGCGGGTAATCTGCTATCTGGGTATTTATTCGCGTATCTAGTGCACTTCGTGTCTGGCCTCGACGCGCAGAGTTCTTGGTGGGACGGGACACGGGTGGGCGCTCCTTCACCGGTATCTGTCTCCTTGCAAGTGGTCCGAGAATGTCCCAAACCCGTGAACCGACTAGAGCTGTTATGTCCCTTTAGTTCTTCGGTAACCCGAGCGCTTCTCTCCTTCCCGTGGAGGCTGGGTCAAGATATGGCTTCTCACCAACGCCCGATGCGCGTACGCCGACTCTGATTCCATCCACCAGGTGAGTGTCGGGCTGTTTGGCGCAGTTTTGTCAGTTCAATGCATAGTATATCGTAGGGTTGAGGGGTTGTGCTGGAACTTTTTGGATGCTGGACAAGGCTAAGACTCAAAAAAAGGGGGGCTAGCCAAGCCTTTCCGTTCTGTCGCACAAGAGGCATGGCCTACGGTTTAAAGACTTCCAATGTGGACAATGAAGAATGACAACGTACCGTTGCGGCATGCAAAGTGCATGCATTGCTCCAGATGGCACATGCTTGCTTCGTCCAATGCATTCTTGCCACACAGTCGTGATTGCGTGTGATAAGCCTGAGGACATAGTCGCGAATCATCTGATCCTCATAGTTATAGACATCGTTGATTCGTGTGACGTGTAGGCCGACGCCCGCGAAAAGGGATTTCCATCCAGTGACTGGGTGGGTGCGGATGACGGGATGCACAGGGGCGAATTTGTCGCCGACATTCAAGGGCGAACCGCGGGGCGACATTAGCTCGTAGCCGCCGGCTTCGGATGCAGATTTGAAAACGGGTTGAGCGCAGGTGGCGGTCAGAGTCTCGAGGAAAGCGGCGAAAGGTGGAGAGAGGCGGTCATAGCTTAAGAGCAACGCGTGTCAATGGAATCAAAGGGAGCAGCAACTGGGCAGGGATCGTACAGTTCATAGCCAGACACCCAAAGTGTGTCTCCACCGGATGGGGGTGTATCTTGCATGCGCAAGAAGCTGAAATCTGCAGGACATTCTTCGAAGAGACCTTTGACAAGTCACTGTCAGCCAAATGTGTCCGGAACCGTCGGGGCAAAAAACGAACAATCACTGTGCCATTCCCGGCTCAAGTCCTTTGGCTCGCCTGTGCTGTTCGGTCGATTCTTCATCGTTGCATATAATTTCTTCATGGCTTCCGAGTTGATAACATAGCTGTATCCTCGTCAGTACTCCATAGTCTTCGCATGTCAAGGAGACCCACATGTTCTCATCCGTGGTCCCGTCTGCCATGGGAATGTTGTTGGGGTCATTATAAAGAGGATGGACGTGCAAGCCATGGTCCTCAGGTCTGCCCGTTAGCTTGCCCAACAGATACGTGATTCTCTTCTGCTCTTCAACGGTTAAGTCGTCTTGAGGCGCGCGAAAGAAAACAACACCGCGCTCGCAGATAGTGATGGCAAGATCTCGAATCTGATCGTCCGCGTTAGGGGCATTCAACATGTCCTTGAGTTTTGCAGTAGGATATTCACGCCCGATGATGGGCGTCACGTCAACATATTCGAGATGGTCGATTGACCCCGAGTTTTTCAGCGGGGTTCGCCGCAACTTCATATGTGACATGGAACCCATTGTTTTTCTGAGAGTTGACGGCGAGAAATGTGCTGTGCTGTATCCTAAGTTGTTTCCGTTGCTCCCACAATATCCAATTGAGGCCTGTTTGCTGCCACCATGAGAAACCAAGCTCTCAGGATATCCCCCTGCCCTTAATATCAATAGGTGATCGACATCGTGGGGCTAGAGAGGAAATGTCTCTGGCATGAACTTGAATGTGGAGTCTTCCACCAACATTGATGTGGGGAAGGTGTGTACTATCAGATTGGAGTAGAGAGTCTTCCCCATGGGGATTGTTCACGGTCGTTCATCTGCCGAAAACATCATGTACGAAAGGATGCTTGGCTGCGATCCCAACCGCACATGTATTCGAAGAGGAGTCGACCTAGCCATGCTCAAAACGTTGGATGAGACAACGTAGAACATATTGGAGCGGGCACCGCTGGCTTGTAATGGAGCAATGGACCATTAGGGCTGCAAGATTTTCGGATGGGACGGCCACTTTCCGACGGAGGCCTGACAACAAAATACAACTGCCGAGATGTCTGCGACTCACTGCTCGCTCACTCTGCGACTCGGCTTGTGGTTGATCCTCATGTTGTCTGGAGAGGGCCAACAGGAAGAGCCACACAATGTGGGATTGCGAGATTGGCATACATATCATGTGACATCGCGTCATTCGTCGCGTATGTCACACTTGTCACGCCTTGAACGCTCTGCAGGCTCCACTGCGCCTGCTGCCTTAGTTGCCCCTCGCGTTGATCACTGACCGTGATGACCCGGAGGACTGATTGTCTGTCTCCAAGCATGTATTTGAATGTCTCAACGTCTTCATGCGGTCCTTGATCCGTCGTTGCCCTCAAGATGGTCTTCACGGACAGCGAAGACGACGACCTGGATGCCCCGCGCATCAAACGAGAAGGTGCTCATAACGCCGAAACCGTCGCAGGGAAGGTAAACAGAAATTTTAACGAGAGGACTGATGCCAGTCCAAGCACAGCCAGCGAGGCGGCAATTTCAGACCGCGCAATAGGGTACGATGATCGAAATACACAAAAGAGACCTCGCTCTGAGCCTGCTCTAGCTAGACATATTCTCCACGATTCCGCCGATGAAGAACTTGAGCGGCTTGAGCAAGAATGGAGGGAAGATGGAGAGGAGAAGGCCAAGAGCGAAGCGCCAAAGACAAAAAGGAGAAGAGGGATGACTGCTACAATTGCTAACGTTGTCGGAAATGAGCTTGCTCCTCGTTCGAAGTTTAAAAAGGCGACAGGTACAACAGGAGTCGGAAGACGTGAGCCTACCAGGAAACGCCGGAAAATAAGAGAGAACGGCAACTCCGACTCGGACGAGGATCTCATGGAATGGACCATGCCAGACCACGTCCGAAATCGAAGAGCGAAATTTGACGAGCGAGCAAAGCAATTGAAAGAAGGTGGCTTGGCCCTGCCGCCCACATATGACGATGTGGACTTCTCGGATACTGAGAGACTGCAGGAGCTGAGAGAGCGGCCGGACTTTCCCCCATCAAGCGCGTCTCGAGCATACAAGGATATTGAACTGCGTTATTCACTCGGTCTCATCCCTGCCCCAATCGCACAATTCTTGCGCGAATACCAGGTTAAGGGCGTGGCATTCATGCATGAACTTTTTGTCTATCAGAAGGGCGGAATCCTTGGTGACGATATGGGTTTGGGCAAGACTGTACAAGTGATTGCATTCTTGACCGTCGCTTATGGCAAGACCGGGGATGAACGTGATCAAAAGAGAATGAGAAAGATGCGGCGAGCGAATCAGTGGTACCCGAGAACGCTCATTATCTGCCCAGGTACACTCATGGAGAACTGGAAAGATGAATTTCGCCGTTGGGGCTGGTGGCATGTTGACCTCTACCACGGGGGTGCATCGCAGAGACACGATGTCTTCTTGCAAGCTCAAGCCGGTATGTCGGAAGTCATGATCACGACATATCACACCTATCGAGCCAACAAGGGGGAAATCAACATGATTCAGTGGGACTGCGTCGTTGCTGACGAATGCCATATCATCAAAGAACGAAAATCAGATACCACCAAAGCGATGACCGAAATCAATGCTCTCTGCCGTATCGGTCTCACAGGAACCGCAATCCAGAACAAGTACGAAGAACTATGGACACTTCTCAACTGGACCAACCCTGGCAAACTTGGACCGATATCGACGTGGAAGAATTCTATTTGTATACCGCTCAAGTTGGGTCAAAGCCACGATGCTTCTCAGTATCAACTGGCAAGAGCCAGGAAAACGGCCAAGATGCTCGTTCAGAATCTTCTGCCACAATTCTTCCTCCGACGGACAAAAGCCCTAATCAAAGACCAACTGCCGAAGAAATCAGATCGCGTGGTATTCTGCCCTCTCACCGTGACTCAGGCAAAAGCGTATCAAAATTTTCTAGACAGTGACATTGTCCAATACATCAAAACAAGCGGCGATCCCTGTACGTGTGGAAGGCCGAAAAAGGCGGGATGGTGTTGCAGGATGACGCTGGACGACGGCAGCACATGGCAAAGCTGGGTCTTTCCTGCAATCGCAAACCTTCGAAATCTATCGAATCATCTGGCGATTCTTATCCCACAAGGATCGGACCCAATGGACAAACAAGCGAAGGATCTCGAGATGCTCCAGATCGCAATGCCTGATAAGTGGAGGGAGATCTACCAAACCCGTGACAGCATTATGCATACTGGCAACCCAGAGTATTGCGGAAAGTGGCGAGTGCTGAAGAAACTCCTCACCTTCTGGCATGAACAGGGTGGTAACAAAGTCCTCATCTTCTCACACAGTGTCCGCTTGCTTAGGATGTTGCAGAACTTGTTCATCAGCACCAAATTCAATGTCAACTATCTGGACGGAGGCATGCAATATGAGGATCGGTACGCAGCTGTCAAAGAATTCAACAGTGATCCGACACAATTTGTCTTCCTCATCAGTACTCGGGCCGGTGGTGTTGGGTTGAATATTACGTCGGCCAACAAAGTGGTCATTGTAGATCCGAATTGGAATCCCAGCTACGACTTGCAAGCGCAAGATCGAGCTTACAGAATTGGTCAGACGAGGGACGTAGAAGTATTTCGCCTGATCAGTCAAGGTACTCTGGAAGAGATCGTGTACGCTCGCCAGATCTACAAGCAGCAGCAAGCAAATATTGGATACAACGCAACATCTGAGCGACGTTATTTCCAAGGGGTGCAGGACAGCAAGGATCAGAAAGGGGAGATCTTTGGATTGCAGAATCTTTTCGCCTACCAGAACGAGAATCAGGTCCTGCGCGACATCGTGAACAAGACCAACATTGCAGAGTCGAAAGCCGACGTCCGCGTCGCAAATCTTGAGCTTGAAGAGCACGAACGCGACACCGATGCCGAAGAAGACGGTATCAAGGGTGAAGATGGTGCGCCACGTCGGATAAAAACCGAGCCAGATTCGGAAGACGCAGCAATGTCCCAACTCGCAGCCGAAATCATTGGGGAGGAGGACCGATCATCTCGCTCCCGCTCAAAAACACCTTTCGGTGTAGCCAAATCGGCTGTCAAAAAACATGATCCAGTCCAAGCCATCCTCTCCTCCGTTGGTGTATCGTATACGCATGAAAACAGTGAAGTGGTTGGCTCTTCGAAGGTCGAGGCGCTACTGTCTAAACGAGCCGAAGAAGCCGCAGCCAACAACAGACACTGGGACACTCAAGAGCAACAAGCCAAGGTATTCTTGGATGACGCGCCACAGTCCCGACACAGCGATGAGGACGAGGATCTTTACGACTACGTCTACGACCATGCATATCACGAAGACCAGCACGACAGGACTCTCACACCCGACGGGAGCAGCGTGCGATACAGGTACCGCCCACCTCAAGCCGTGCGGAACCGGCAATTCTGCAGCATGGCCAGGTGGGCCGGCTACGGAGATGACGTGGTGTCCTTTGCGTTGGTAGTGGAGAGTTGGACGCAAGCGCAACGAAGAGAGTGTCTCGATCGATTCTATCGCCATAGGAGAGATGTGCTTCGTGGACTGGTCAAGTCCGAGAGCTCTTGTGGGAACGTGAAGAAAGAAGAAGTCAAAGAGGAGGACCAAGACGACGTCAAGATCAAGAGACAGGAAATGCAGGTGAGAGAGCCAAGTGTCACAGCCGACAACGACACTGAACAAAACGACGCGTTGAAGCCCAGGGCAGACCCAGGACCTGAGAAAGAACCCGACACAGAAGTTGTGGACATTGAGTCGGCAAGTGAAGATGAAGACGACGAGCTTTGATTTGACCTACCCTGGCTCCCCTTGGAAAACGGGTAAACGGAAATCGGCCACGCGGACTACCACTACCATAATGTGATGATTGACGATGTTGATGACCTTGAGATACCCCCTGGACTATCCGTCCTAATGGATGCTTAAACCCATGATTTATGCAATTGTCTAGATAGTTGTACCTTGGAAATTAATTCCCAGGCGGTCGGTGGTGAATAGGACCTACCTAAGTACTCCGTTCCACAGACATTGAGTCACTGACCTTGGAAGTAGGAGTTCTATGTACGCAAGGCATGACTACTGACAATAATATCTCTGGAGCGATTGCGAGCTACGTCTGCCCGTGCCATTAGAGTCCAGCCTGTCTGGTGCTCACATGGCGCCCAATACACAACCCTGATCCTTGTATCCTCCGGCTTGGTTCTTCGCGCCAAGCGTGTCCTTTTGTTGACATCAACACCAAGAGGTGCAGTCCGCGTCGTGTGCATTTGAATGCAGGCTGCATATCTCTAGCTTTTGATTTTGTTTAGCGGCGCGGGCTTCTGCCATGCCGCAAGCATGTCCGACTAAATCATTCAAGATTGGCTCCAAAGCAGTGCTCCAAGCTGCCAACCCGTGAACGCGCTTGATCCCCCTTGCGTTGACAGTTCCCAGCACCCACATTTGAACATCGGAACTATCACATGGCCAGGTCACAACGGCAGTATCATACGTGGCAGAGATGAAGAGCATTTTTCGGAAGATTGGAGGAAAGAAGAAGCATGACGAAGAGCGGAATGCATTGAAGCCCGACAATGCCAAAGGATATGCTCCGCCAGCATCGACTCCCCGCCTTGCTCAACAGCCTGCTTCACAATCCATTCCGCAAAACCAGAATTTCGGGTCTTTGGCTTCTCAAAGGCAGAATCGAAATGTTCCTCAACGACCTAGCCCATCTGGAACAAATACACTTCGTGTCACAGCCTCTTCTCCGCTTCACGACATTAGCAAGCTACTGACACAACCAGCATCAACTTCAATTGACGATCCAAGAGCTCTGATCCAGATTAAACCACGTGCACTTTGCCTGGTATGCTGTAACTTTGACCCAACCCAAGCTCCACCAGATGGCAGCTTGCTTCAAAGACCATGGGCCAAAGCGGAGTACAATATCCCGGATGGAACGCCATTCGGAAAGGTAGTGGTCGAAAAGTCAGAACAGTTACTTGAGGCTGCCAAAGGCGGATGTCCCTACTGCGTTATGGTTGAATCAATGCTTGGGGCATTACATCCTGGTTGGGAGACCGACAACGCCTTTGTTCATATCTTTCTAGCGTCCGGCCTGCCTGTAGTTGTGCGCTTGACCTTTGGTGGAACGTCCACCGTGCCGATGACGAGAGAACAAATTCTCGGGCTTGGTTTCGAGTTACCAGAGGGGCGGAATATCGGGTACCTCATCGAGGTTAAGGACCGTTCGAAGCCGCCCATAGAAGTTGAGATCTATCGACCTGTTATTCCAGATAACCAGCTCACAGTTGGTGGTACGTCATTCAGCTCAAGCAAGATGACATGTGTATGAGATAGGCGCTAACGGTCATGTCCAGATCTTGCTTTAGCACCCTTTGTGCAGCATATGGGCTTTGCGGAAGAGATCGCAGAACACTCTGGGGATCAACAATGCTTCGACTTCATCAAAGAGAAGTTGGGGACTTGTATCAAACAACACAAATGTGGAAAGGATGGGGGTCTCCCCGTGCTTCCCGATCGTGTCATCTGGATCGAAGCCAACAATGCAAGCCGCATTCAGCTTTTGGAGCCGAAGAACATTTGTGCACCGTTTATCGCCCTCAGCTATTGTTGGGGCCCTGTGGGTCCAAATACGTATCTCACAAACGCGCGAAACCTGGAGGCGAGGAAAGCTAGCATAGAATTCAATGATTTGCCGCCTCTCTTTCAAGACGTGGTCGACGTGGTTCGCTCACTTGGGATTGAATACATCTGGATAGATCGACTCTGCATCATCCAAGGAGATGACGAGGACTTTCATTCCCAGGCGCCGAAGATGGGAGAGATCTATGGAAACGCTACTCTGACTATTGCAGCAGCTTCTGCTACCACCGAAAATGACCGTATCTTGGTTCCAAGGGACGAAAAATGGTGGCCGTTCGATCTGAACTTGGATTTTGATGGAATCGGCTCTGTGAATCTTCGATTCCGGCGCCGATCACATGCCTTGGGCACGGAGGCCTCAGGGGGTGATTATGGCAAGATGTCTACTAGAGCTTGGATCTGGCAAGAACGTCTCCTGGCTGCAAGGACCGTCTTCTTTACTCCTACAGCACTGAGGTTCGAATGCCGTTGCCATTCTTTCTGGGAAGGGTTCTGTAAAGGCCGCACAGGCTTGTCTTGGTCCGCCCAACTCGACAACATTACACACGTTGCTTGGACAAGATTGGTCGAGGAGTACATGGGCAGGGATATCACCCGACCTTATGACCGGCTCCCAGCCATGGGTGCCGTTATGAAGCGCATTGAAAAGAGCACAGGATGGTCGCCTTTCTGGGGTTTGTGGACAAACGCACTTGCCGAAAGTCTGGCTTGGAAAGCTCGCGCGAGCGGTTCCAGAAACTGTCGAATGAATCCAGGCCACTACGCTCCGACTTGGAGTTGGGCCAGTGTGGACGGTCCGATCTCTTACGCATCTGCCAGACCACGGGGCGAATTCGACAAAAACGATCCAATACAGTGGGATCTGGAATATCGGGGTCTTAATGAGGCTTCAGGCTTGATCAGGGTATCTGGTTACATGATCCTCGTCGAGCTGGACGGTGTAGTCGAACGCAATGAGTCTCACGGCAACAGTCCTGCCGAGGAAGAGAAATTCCGGTACAAGTACAAGATAAAGTGCGAAAATGACCAAGGCTATGCAGTTACGCCCGACGTCGCTTTGAAGCCATGGAGCGGTAACATCAATGGCCATAATGTGTCGACTGTTGTCCGAGTTCCATATGGAGAAACGCCTACAGTGCAATCTTGGACCGCCCGCTGCGCTTGCCTTTTGGTCGGTAAGTGGAAGTGGAGATCTCTTGTTCTCTTGTTGGGCCGCTCGATACGGGAACCTGGTGCCTGGGAGCGGGTTGGACTGGGTGATGGAACACTGTTACCTTCTATGTTCTCGACGCGTGAGAGACAGATTATCGACATTGCTTGATGTTTGGCTGGATTGCTGTGTGCATCTGTAATCAGCGAGGTTTCCAACACCGGGGCCTGAGATGGTAGGGATTTTGGCCTCCGCCATGTGTGAATCTATAGAGGTGATCTTGCCATCACTAGAGGGAATGCGGCAGACTATCACAGGGATGAGATACAGTAATGGTTGCTCCTACGATAAAAACAAGCGTAGTTGAATCAAATGAGAGCTTGATTGGGTGAGAAGAGCGGAAGTGGACACCACATACGAGCGCTCTACGACATTTACTCTTTACTTCTTGAATAGCACTTCCAAAATGCCTTGTTGGCGGCAGCATCAACCATGACATCTATTACCGTGTCCGAGATCTCTCGCGTGGATCTCCAAGGACTCGAAATCGCTGGGCCGGCTCCGGGCTCCTGTTCTCTTATAACTGGATTGAGCATTTAATGTCACATCTACAATCGCTGTTCCCAATAGTCCCGCCCTTTATTTGGCCCCCGGGGTTTCTCGATGGTTGCCAAAAAAGGATTCTGACCTTATTTATACAGCTCAGTATGCAGCCCGCCATCTAACCCTCTTGACCCAATTTTTGTGCGCTATGTATCATATATTCTCCATTCGATATCCGTTCGACTAATGTTGTGACCGACGGAATGGTGTCCATAAGCTCCTCTCGTCCATTGACCCTATCTCCACCAGAAATGGGCTCGAAGCATTCACCATGCGCATCGAGATAACGAAGATCGCCGCAATATTCTATTGTCACGGGGCAAGGAGGCTGAGACTGTATATTATATGTATGGCCAAAATGGGAAGATGTACTATAGAGAATGGGAAGGTATACCGACGACTATTTAGTCTTCTTTATCTACTCTTTCCCTTCTCTTTTCTCAATGTTCGGGCTTTCTTGGCAAGATAGGCAGAGTCTGCCGATAAGTGATAGTAGATATCTCTATAGTACGTGGTCCATACCGTACACGACTCAAACATAAGAGAAGAGACATTGCAGGGAGCGTGTTACTCATCAGGGGGCGCTCCCTGTAACAGAAGTCTTCTCTCAATAACTCCCTCGAGGCTTCAGCTAATTATGATAGTAAATGATCTCGCCTCCGTGTTCATTATTGGCCCTCATAGTTATTCCCAACAAAAACTACCAGCACTGCAGCGTAGCTGGGAAGCGGTAAGCTAGAATCCCAGATACAATACGAGGAACTTACGCTGCCGTCGCCACAAAAACTTCGAAATTCCGGCTCTTCGTTACGAAGGCGATCGCCGAGGCAAAGACCAACGAAAAACAGGCAATGAGTGTCAAACGATATTCTTGTCTCTCGGTGTAGGACAAAGCAAAGAGTGGGCCAATGAGGATGATGACGCTGATCAGAGTCAAGAAGCATCTGACCACCCGGCGGATGGTTGTCGACGAGTAGAAGCGCACTTCTTCACCAAAGAGTGGTCGATTCTGATGTTTCTTAATAGAGGAATGTCAGCTCGATCCCTCCAAAGGGGTGACTTCTCACCTTTGTAACAAAGACCCGAGAGAATTTCTCTTCCGCCCACTTCTCGAAAAGGTGGTAGTCTTCGACTTTGAGTCCCAGACTCGCTAGGTCGTCACGTTCATCGATCCAATGTGATTCTTCTTCGACGACGGGTTTGCGGCCATCGATCCAATGACTGACGCTGTCGGCGTACATGTCTCGCGCTTTTTCCATTTTCAAGCATTGTGAATGTATATACAGCCGCTTCTCTGGAACCGGTTAGAACTCAAATCAAACACAATTGCCGACTTTGGCATACGATATTGATACATCCTGCGCTCCAACGCTGTCATAATGGCTTTTCGTTCAATGTTCTGATCATTTCTTCGCGAGTGCAAGGAGTACAGGTCTATGGCATTCCCGGAAGTCCAATCGGCCGTATCCAGCGCCCTGAGCCTTTGCTCTAATTCGCTCAGTTCGTCTTGCATATGCAATAGAACTCGGATTGACATCTGGTCAAATCTTCTGAAAAGACAAAATACTTTGTCGCTCGCCATGAACTCTGCGAGGGAACCATATCCAGCTACCCGCGGACGCGGCGTTGTCATCTCGGTACCTGGCTCCGCTACTGCTTGACCGTGAGAACGGAACGGACAGCAGAGATGCTACTTACTATTCAGATCCTGAGACGGCGAAGTTTGCATTTGGCCACCAATTGTCGCAGGTGGTGGAGGTGATATGCCTTGCGCGGGTCCAGAGGCCGGCACGCTGGAACCATTGGAAGTTGCATGTCCACTCTCAGTATCTTGAGAAGAGCGAATGTAAGCCGCAGGCTGCAACTTGTCAGCCAGCCCATATCGCCGGAATTTGTGACAAACTTGCTCTCGCAAATCGTCGAACTCTTCCAGTGCCTAGGCGTAAGGGTTCTGGAAGAGGGTCGACGTTGTTCAAGGCTGTCTTTTTGAGCTCCAAGACATTTTGCACTGGTCTTTGTCATCACTACAGCCGGCAGTGGTAGAATCTGGCCCATTCTCACCTTGCTGCTGATGTGATCGACTTGCGAGTCTTGACGGCTCCTCATATCCTGACATTTGCATTGATTCTGGTGAAAAGACCGAAAGTCGTATCGGACGGGAAGAGGAGATCTATTTGGCCACATTCTGTCGTACATTTTGGAACAGCCATCATGTGTGGCGTTGAATTCTGGTGGTCTCGAATTTCGTGGCGTTGCATTATTGATGGCTGACACAGGGGAAACACCCCCCCAGCCCCAATCATCCAGGGGCATGCGCGCCCAGCCATCTCCAGCTCTCGTATACCCAACAACTGATATGTCGACTCCTGAGCGAATACGCAAGTTGACAGATATGGAGCATAGTTCAGCCATTTTCAGCTCACATGCTGAGACATCTCGACGCCACCAGAGTCGCCCTCGAAGTCAAGCTGCACAAATGGACGTCCCAGGACGGTTCTCGACCTCACTCCTTTCTTTTCGCTGCTCGCGAATCCTCAGCCTTTCTGGTCTCTTCAGCCAATTTCTTCTGAAATCTCAGTGTGATAACGATCAGGAACCAAGTCAAAATGTCGTCCCAGGCGACTACTCAGGATGGAGAAGGCTATGAGGACCCTTCCAGGCTGATGAGCAAAGAGGACGTACGCGGAAGTATGAAGTCGATCTTCTTCTAGGACCTCATCTCACGAAATCTAGTCTGTGAAGTCGTCGGGCTTCCGAAAGAGTCAGTCAACAACCATGAGCCGATGCCTGAGCCATTGCGGCTGGGTGCTGGAAGAGTTCGGGCTTTCGACAAAGGCAGGTTCTACATTAAATTCTGGAGACTGAATCTAACGGTGAATCAGACCAAATGCTTTCGTTCTTAGAGAAGCCATTAAACCTGGCCGGAAAACCAGAAATTCTCTCCACGCATCCTTTTCAGCACGCGACGAATAGTCCCCGAGCAAGTGCATGGCCGTTCAAACCAAGTGAGTTCTATTGATGTGCCACGGAGTTCGTTCTAATTGTGGTATTGCCGCCCACGACTTCAAAATTTCAAGCGATGAAATTACCAAAAGGGCCGCGTGGTCATGGTACCGGACGGGCATCTTGTATGAGAAGAGTGCTGAACACTGGGTCCTGAAGCGTGCTCATCCACGTGCTTGGACGTATCGACAAGCGACAGTAGGTCATTGACTACTATTTTCAACTCTTGTTCGATGAATGCTCACGATCCTCAGGACCAAATCGATCAATCCATCAAGACCTTGAGGGAGAGAGGACTTAGGGCAAAGAGTCATGCGCTATCGCTCTACCCTACTCTTCTGATGCACGAGAACATTGATGCTCCAACATGGGCAGAAAGATTTTCCAAAAGGTATGCGTCCGTCCAAAAGACTTGGCCGATCCGTGTCTAACACCAATTAGCGACTTTGATTATTACGCAGAAATGGCGCGAAACAAGGAGCTAGTCGACAGATCTACCCTGGCAGAGTACTACAAATTGATGGCGTATGAGTATGCCATGGAGGCCATGAACGAGTACCTGGAGCCAAGAGAAGCAGAGCGTGCGAAAGGTCTGGCGAACCTTTTGTAACCCATGTATCAGACGCTGACCCTTCAAAGCTTCAGGAGCCGGATTCCGAACCAACATTCAATGTTTTACAGAGGCAGCGCGAGAACAAGGAGGAGTGCTTGCACTTTGGGAGCATGTGGCCAAATTGCACCATTCTGATGAAAGTTTTCAAAAGTGGTGGACCCGAGCTGCGTTTGCTCGAGGACATGCTGAATGGTTGTTGAAAGAGCCTTATAAGAAATATCGTGAGTGTTCACCCTTGGTATTGAAGCCAGAATACTGATGATCTTTACAGACGGACAATCTAGCAAACCCCAAGATCCCATCGAGCCATGGAGACTCTGGCCTCCAAGGTCTCCTCGTCAGTCCACCCAAGATTGCGTTCCAAACTTCCTGCAAGGCCTGTGGGGCCCCAACGACTTCTATCGGACAACTTACTGGCTATCTCACCACACTTTGACCGAGGCAGAATATCAGTTAACGGGCCGCATGCCTCTGTCAAGTCTATTTGGCGCACCGGTACGTCCGAAGTTCATTTGCACCGGTCGATATCTCTCATCTGCGGCCCAGAGGAATATTTAACTCACTCGCGAGGCAGGATTTTGTCTTTTTAGAAACCTCAGAAATGGGATGGGCACAGGAGCTTTTTGGCCTCTTTTCCGACTTTGCCGTTCGGTCGGCGTTCGAGAAACAGACGTTGTTTAGGCAGAGGTACCTCCGAAAGGGAGTCTACGACACGCTGCCAGCTTCGGCTAGCGCCTACCACAAAGCTTTGGCAATCTGTGCAGATGACGTTGTATACGAACGTGCCATAGAGCTGACTCTCAAAGTTAACTTGAAAGCTGATGTGGATATCAAGAACAGCCCTGCTGAGAGAGACATTGAGAATCTCAGGAGAGATATTCAGTTGATCACGGCCCGGAGAGCGACAATGACTCGACAAGAATCAAAACTATGCGGATTCCAGAAGGCCGTGTCCGACATTATCCACCATTACTCAGACCGAATCTGCAACTCGAATACTCGAGCAAGCTTCATGGTCGTCCTCGCTCTGCAATTGGAACTCCGACAACTTCTGTCCCCCTGGCTACTGGTCAAGGCATTCATGAGCGTAGGGGGCAAGTGGAAATGGGGTCTCAGCCCACCCGGACAGCCAGTCCAGGCACCACAGCCGAGTTCTGGACTCGAAACTATCCCTTCATTCGTTGAAATGGGTCGTATCATGTTCATAGATCTCAAACTCGAAACGATACGTGCGCAGATTCTGAGGAACGAAACTTTACAAGGCGATGAGCTGCAAATGGCGTTGTGTTTCCGCCGGTTTCTGGAGACGGGCCAAGAGGCCCAGATGCCGCTCATGGCGATGGGTCTGCGGAGACGTCGCGACATTACTATTGTCGAGTACAACGAGACATCAGCTATCAAATGTGCTGAAGGCTGCACGTGTTCGTTGAGTACGCAGAAGGATCGGAAAAAGATGCTTGCTGCGAAGAGGAAAGGCAATGAACCAGTGATCACGGCGGAGCGACAGAAGATCCACGCCTGGTTTACTCGTGTTGAGGGACCGCTAAAGGCGACTGATCTGGAAAGTCCAGGAAGTCACGCCTTCCTCTCAGCCAACAGAGGTTTTCCGCAACGGCAAGGAGCCTCACTGTCCTCAGATTCATCGGCAATTCTGTCATCGGCATCGTCCATATCCTCCATCTCCTCATCCTCGCTGACCCCATCCAGCCCAAGACCTGCAATCAATCAACAACTCCAGCCGTCTTACACATTTCCCCACCACCAGCGTGCCTTAGCATTACGCGCAGCCAGGTCGAGCGGCGCCCTAAACTTAACGGATTCAACCAACTTACACCAAATCCACCCACCGACAGCCTCGTCGTCCCCACAGAGCCCGACACGAGTTCGAGACCCACCGGTGCGGACATTGCAACCTCCTCCCCTCCAAGCAACCGAACTCAGGCATAGCAGCATCCTCCGTTCTTCCCCTTCAGTCCCCATAATGCAGAAGTCGCCAATGACGGCGAATGCTCCACCGCCTCTACCACAATCACCCCAGAGGCAACACCCTCCCCGCCAATCCACGCTCCTGGAAGCAAGAAGCTCCAATGTCGAAGATGGGGGTACCCGGCGAGGGAAGCGAAGGAGTATCTTCGGCAACTTGTTCCGGCGGCGGGATCGTACAGGGTAGAGCGAGCTCGCATTTGTGTCCCTCTCCTTTACCTTGACGCAATCTATTGAGCTTGCTTGGAGTTGATTCATTCTCTACAGGTACGGCATGACGAATTGGAGGATGGTAATGACAGGAATACATAAACGCAGAGGATGAGTTGTTGGGATATGGAGTTGAGGGAGAGAGCCACTTCTTCCCGACGGATTGGACCCTTGACCCCTAGTACACGAAGCAGGGGGCATTCCAGCTGATGTATTGACTGATTAGTTAGGTGCTTTGTACATGGATTCCCATCGAACTATTGCGACTTCAAAGAGATGTATGACTAGATCCGTTCGGCTAAACCTGATGACCGTCCTGATCTTGGCTACCTCTACTGTATGAACGCATGCATGTCGAAGTAGCCAAGCAAATCCGCATGACTGAAGAGAAGAGGGCCAGGGAGAAGTCCAAGAGGGAAGCGGGCGACAGCGATAATCCTGGTGGCGGCAACGCTTACAACGGCAGCCCGAAGCCAAAGCGTGAGGAGAGGAGTCACTTGAAGCGCACCTATCCTGGTTACGGCAAACCCGGCCATCCCGAAAGAAAATTGCTAGATCAAGCACCCCAACAAGGCCCTACGTTCCCGAAAGGGCATGTTCGCTGCCAACGCCGACAACATGGCTAATAATGGGTATGGGCGGTGCTACGGAAACCAACCTCACCACCTTCGGAAATGCCTACTCTCGTGCCGACACCCCAGGGACGGCTCCCTCCCCTGAGTTCCATGTGAACGCGGCTGACACTTCGCGTAGTTTTCGAGCGCGGAGAGAAATAGGGGGTCCTTCTAGTGTAACAAGGCAAAGCGGCTGTGCTGTGCCGGGCTGGAAGAATGGTAGCAGGGGGGAAGTTATCTAGTCACATGTTAAACCGAAATGGGCAGGTAGGGGGGATTGCGAGACAGTTTACAGTGCTGGAAGAGTGCCATTCTTTATAATTTAGATAGAGTGTCAGTATTCTATGTTTTGATGTCGTCTGCCTATTCCTGAGTATTTTATCGGCCTTTTCCTACTTCTCAATGTCGTCGCTATGCTAGGCGGTCGCTGCCCTAGCTGCTGCCTCTATGGGGGTGGTATTGGTGGTGGTGTTGACTTGTCAGCGCCAACCAGAAACGCGTTCTCGATTCCCGACCTGCTGGACATGCCCCTGTGCGTTGTTGCACGTGCATGCCGAACCCTGAAGTGCTCTGTTACAATATTCGAGAGAACTTCGATTATGGAAAACCACCATAGCCTGAAGACAATCTTTCTTCTGTAACCAGTCTCTATTATGGCACAGCGCGAGTCAGGAGAATTCTCGTCGCGAAATATCGTTGACAGAAGACAAATTGCCCGCCATCACTGATCTCGCAATTGAGCTTGTAGGAGTCCTTCAGGGTGAGTACGTAGCAGGCTTCTGGCGCAATGACATCCTCAGAGGTATGATTTGGTCGACATGGTCATTTTTGTACGTCAAAAAGCCTAAGGTCTGGCGAGCTTCATCTTGGCCCTCAGCATTAGTCGACAACGTAGTGACTTACAGGTTTCTGGACTACATGTCGAGTGAGGCCGGAAAGATGGCGGAGGTGGTCGAGTGTACAACAACGCCTGTTGCACTACATAGCCAGCTAGTCAATGCTACATTACGTTTGCATGCGCTAGTTCTGAGTGTTCATCAACAAAGGTGTATTCACTAGCGCTCTTCGAGAACAATACAAAATGCCGCCAATGAATCACTCTCTTACCTAGAACCCTACCAGAGAAGACACGGGATATGAAACATTTCATTAACAACTGACTGAATATTTCTTGCCTAGTTCTAACTTCTCCGAGCCTGTTGGCGTACCGCTGCTCTAAAATACAGTATAGGGCCTTTTTGTGCTCCTTTTGGCTATAACAGTTCCCGCGGGAACTTCGTTAGCATTCTTTCTAAAGGCAAAGCTGACCAGCTTTTTTCAACGCTGGAGAAGCGAGTAGTGTTTCGAGTATATTCATTGGCCGACAACACGACTTACAGCATCTAAAATCCCTGGCTCGACAACGTTTTCAAGACGGGGTTCGACTAAATTGGCGACACCATGAACTACCCAACCTCGCGACAGAAGCTTTTGATACGACTCCTTCCAGCGACTTAGGCCTGTAAGATGTCATCGTGGATGCGCTGGCCGAAAATAGCACAGCACTACTGCAACAAGATGACTGGACTCATACGTTCGAAGAGAATGCACAGATGAGCTACCTGGTTACAGTTAAAGTGTCTGATAAATTGGAGAAATATGCAGCGGAGCCCTCAACGTCATCCCTTCGAGACAAGATCAACAGTAGACGCCAGAGCAAGCATTGCGGAGCGGCATTTAATGCATGCATTGACGCAATGGAGCCGGGAACCCAGCGGTGTAGAGAATGTAGAATCCGATATTGACTGATATAGCGTACCATGCATCTTCTCGTATCATCTCTTTTTTTTGTTTCTTGAAATTCACCTCTGATTTCTGCGTGATGGATGTATCAGGAATGACATCCTAGGCCTCGAGGAGCCTTAATTCGTCTTCATCTGTGGCTCCTGACTCCGAGAGGTGTTGACTTTCAAGGCCTTGAGAAAGCCCAGATGATGAGGGGAAGTGCAGATCGGATTCTCCCGAGGGTTCGAACTGTATATCGGGTGGTATGGTATTGTATCGATGGTTAAACAAAGCTTTTTGAAGTGAGCAGCCATCCAGGCCTCATAGACATTCCTCATAAACCTGTATGCCGGCCATTTCTCTTCCCCATCCAGTGCGATGAAGTCAAAAGTATGAATGGGATGACTGTAGAACATAGTCTTTTTGCCTTCAATGACGGGATAATGGCCATAAATCCTCACAGATCGGTTGTCGTGCGAGATAGAAAAAGTAAGAATCTGTCGATGCAGCTCTTTTTCACGCTTCACAAGCCGGAATAGTTCCACGCCTTGAACAGCGAGCGTCATGCTGTGTGCGTTCTGTCCATCCGCTACGTCGAGTGCGGCCACACTGCCCTTCACTACGCTCGAGAAGGAGGGGAAGTACATGTACTATGTCCCCATAAAGAAAGAGTTGTCGTCAAGGTCGCCGACAAATGGTTGACGTTCCTGGAGTTGAGTTTCGGTGAAAGCTTCTCTTCGGAACCCTTCGTCAATGGTATAGAGTTATTCCAGCCTTCGTTAGTGCTTTCAATTAGCAATCAAGGGCAGCGGCACCATACATTTCAAAGATTTCTGCGACGGGCACGATCAACTGAGAAACGTCTCGGATAACCCGGGTTTCATTTCATAAATTTGCACTATAAACGAAAGGACGGGAAGCTCGTTGCATCTTCGTGTTGCCGATTTGCAAAGCGTTTCTGCCAGCCCAGTGCTCCGGCATTGCGCCAAGCTCAGACTAAATCTCTCCCTTTGCCCTGAGGCTGCTCTGAGGCTAAAATTGCAGCGCAGTTCACGTTGCCTGAAAGCACTCTACCGCGGGCGCAGTGTTACCCATCGTGGATTTCCATCTCTTCTTAAGGTTCAAACCCTACATGTTCCAACGCTAAGAAAAGTCTACGTAACCGGTGCCTTTGACAAACGTCGCCAGCCACGGGCCTTGATCCTTCTCGGAAAGCTCCACGTAGAACTTCCCATGTGCCTCTCCATCAATAGCACGGTACACAGCAGCACCATCAGCCTTGCGCTCATCTGCATAATAGAAGCTGCCTCGATTAGCATTTGGCCATAACTCAGGACGTGGCATAGACTACCTGTATCCGCGGTCCGCGTAGACTGACGCTGCCGTCTGGATCAAGTGCGCTGTAGCGCTCTTTCCCATTCCCGCACTCATCAATGCTGGGATTGGCTGAGAATTCGTTATATTTCCAGTAAAGATAAAGGTCCGGGCTGCATCCTTCGGCAGCGCCTCGAAGGACTTGACGGCTTCTTTTGCCGCAGCGAGGGCGCTGAAGGTATTGATATTCATATCACGGATGGCATCCTTGAGAGAAATTTCCAATGGGTCCTCCTTGTTCACGAACGAGGCCGCCGCAGCTGTCTTCGTCAGCATCGAAACAATAGCAACGAACAGCCCCAGCCACGAACCGTTGTAGACAACTACGCTTGGATGGCCAAGTTGCTTGCGGACGGTTTCGAAAACTGTCGAGACGCCTTCGGGATCTGTTAAGTCGGCCTGGATGTGGAGTCGCTTGTCGCTTGCGTCTGCCGTAGCTGTCCGCGACACTGTTGCCATCCTGTACCCTTTGGCAGAGAAGGCTTTGACGACGCCGGCTCCTACGTTTTGGCCGGCACCAAAAACAAGGGCGATTGGCAATGATGCGGACATGGTAACGTGTTGCACAAGTAGCTCGTTGAAAATGAAGCAGGGGAGGACAACTTTGGACTCCCTGCACAATGTGACACTCTTTGCAAACAACAACGCTGGAGTCCTGGAACTGTTACGACTTTATTCCACATGACAATGATCCCTTTATACTTCTTGCTCCGACAAGTCTCTAAGGAAATCCCCATAGTTCAGGATGGTGGACGGGTTGCTTAGCAATCGCGCTTCTTCCGCCTTCAATATTTGCCCAGGAGTCGGAGAAAGTTGCTTCACTTTACATAATTCTGCCGCCATCCGCTATCGACAGTATCGGCGAACAAACCAAACATGAATTATTAATATTACTTCGCAAATACTTTCCAGTGATTACAGTATACACGACCGGATACCTCTCACTTCCATGGCACTGTGTGATGGGTCCCGCGATGGGTATAAGAGGATGCGACAGCATCCCCTTCTGTAGATGCATCACCACAACCAAACGAACCGAGTAAGACAATCTATATTATCCTAACCCTCTTCAACATTCTATACTGGTCACTTATCGCTGCCTAATATCGACGAAACTGAAAATGGTGTCCTGGGCTATCACCGGCGCAACGCGAGGCATTGGGGTAAGCTTCCTCAGATCAACACCACAATCACATCCTCAAATGCTAACAAGAGAATCTTGGCAGTTCGGCTTCGTCGATAATCTTGTGAGTCTACCGTTACAATTGTAGTCTTGGCAAGGGCATACCACTGACGGCGCCGCCAAAGTCTGTCGATGCGAAGAACCAAGTGTTTGCCATCATTCGAAGTCGAGGAACTGCCGGTCCGCTTGAGGAGCTTGCTGCAAAGCGCAAAAACATCCACATTGTAGTGACCGATATCTCCGACCCGAGGAAATTGGATCAGGCTGCCGCTGAAGTCTCTAAAGTAACGGCCGGTTCGCTTGATGTCTTGATTCTCAACGCTGGCTCCGCAGGGCCAGAGACCAGCGCGCTACCGCCAAGTGCTTTGTGAGTGAACGGGCCTGGATGCGCTTGAGTGTTCAAATTGCTGACACAGCGCAGTCATGGCAAGGAGGAAGCGCTGGAGAAGGAGATCAATGAGAACGTATGAACCTTCAGCTAGACCTTGAGCGATACCAGCAAAGGTTGACTGCACACAGATCAAAACAAACCTGATCAGCAACATCTATGTTATCAACTGCTTCCTCGGCCTCATTCGTAACGGCAAAGAGAAGAAGATCATATTCATCTCCAGTCAGAGCGGAGACGTTGAGTTCACTCGTGTCACTGGCCTTTCTACCGTGCTGGGATATTCTGTCAGCAAGGCTGGCATGAACATCGTCACCACCAAGTTCGGCGCTGAATTGGCCCAAGATGGCATCAAGACACTGTCTCTGAGTCCAGGATGGGTAGATACAGATGCTGGTCAGTCGATACGCCAGGCGAACCGTGTCGGCACAGATGACTGACTCAGAACAGCGCGAGCCGTCACAGGCGACCCGGCTATACGTAAATTCATGCTACATGCATTTCGAAAGCTCGACCCAAGCGTCAATGGACCGATTTCGGTCGATAAATCAGTCACCGATCAGCTTCAGGTGATTCAGAGCTTGACGGAAGCGAACAGTGGGAAATTTGTAACACATCACGGAAATCATGATGAGTGGTTCTAGTCCGGAAGCTGAATGGACCTATCTTGATAGAAGATCGGAACAGCGGATGGAAATGATGGGGCTATGGCCTGAACTCATGCAAATGGTGGTATGAATGGAACTCCACCAACAACCGCATCGAAAATTGTTAGATAATCGACTTGGTTCTCCGCATTGAGATCATGCTGGTTCCACACAGCCTCAACCATATGCTGAATAAGATGAATGTGACTTGATCTTCGTCTTCGATCGTGCCGACTTTGTTGAAAGACGTCCAGGATAGCAAGGCGCTGATCATCGCCAACTGCCTCGCAGGCGATAATGAACAATGGCCACGCGTTCTGGCATGTTATCATCTTGGTCAACAGCGATATTCCCTCTCTCACAAGTCGCCTATGACGGAATTCTGTTCCTGAAACGCAATGGACGGCCCGATTGACATATATCAAGCACGCGAGTCGATGAAGATCGGCGACCATAGTATTCCGGTCTATCGGGGTCGCAGATGGTACGTGAATTGGGCCATAATCTCCCACTGCCCTGGAAATGTTCTGTTCCAGCACCTCTGTGCGCTCCATGTCAGCATTCGCATAATTCATCTCAGAGGGTTTCGCGACTAGAGCTCGTCTACATGTATGTACAACGAGCTGGAGCACATCAGTTGGACAGCCGATGTTGTCCTCTACCTGCCGAAGTATTAGTTGATGTCGGAGAAAATGCAAAAGGCTTCCATTTACCTTTAGACCGCTTCCCTCGATGGCTCTGGGTGATCTTGCTGTTGGAGCGAAGCCGCAACCTTCATAAGGAACCTTCCAATGCCTGATTGTGAACTCTGCGAGGACCTCGTGATAATAAATCCAATCAAGGAAGACCGAATATTCTTGCCGAACCAGCTTGTGAATTGCTGGTGACGTGTTGATAATCCTTTTCACTGCGCACAGATATATTACCCAACTCCCTTTGGAGTTTGATTCGAGCGAGAGCTGTGATCATTAGCCGACCATGGCAAGCCTGTCCGGACCGGGTTATACTACCTCATAATGATACAAAAGCATCGTTGCCATCAGGTTCTGGAGCAGCGTCTTCTCGTCGAGCCAGTTGACGGACTCTTTAACTGATGATATGACAAGATGCTTGTAGCGAAAGCTCTTCAAGCTCCCGTGAAGCTGTAGTGATGCGAGAGCAAACACGCCTTGTAGGACTGGATTGGTCGCATCGGATGGATCTGAGAAGGCAATTGTCAAGATAAATTGTGCCAAAACCTCCTCGTCGGTAGGTCCTAGTACCAGTGATCTTGATTCGTTGACTGAGATGTTTAGGTCAGTATGATGATTGGGTCTGGAGAGTCACCCTACATACAGAACCCCAGTAAATGCGACTCTTCTCTGTTTATGACGGTGGGCGATAGATAGGTCGGGCGAGGGACTTTCATGGTCCGAAGGTAACGAGCTACAGGTAACTGCCGTTAGTATCAAGCGGCTTGACGGTGTGTCGGGGTGGATTTTCACCCGAAATCTTTCCGTTCTCTAGCTCCTCCGATAGCGATATGTCCCAGAAAGAAGAATTCAGGAATCCTTTGACATTTGATTGAAGAGCATTCACTGCACGGCGCGTGTCTCGCAAGATGATTGCTCTTTTTCTGTCGCCCTCTCGAGGCCAGGACAGCTGGATGCCATAGCCCTGACAGACGCGCCGCGCCTTCGTGCAATTGCCACATCTCGGCCAATGCGAGTCACATCGAACTTTGCGCTCTAAGCAGAAATCAGCACATTGACAATCGTACGGGATCTTATCCACTCTTGATGTTTGCCTCTGCAAGTCCAACACCCTTTTATTCCCATGGCGAGATCCTTGTGGACCAAGTCCACATGCTCATCCTCCAAATTGTAGAGACTGCTGGACTCTTATCACAGCCTTAACTCGATATGGATTCAACCTGAGTTCATGATGCGCCGTGAATCTTTCTCTGGTGCGATGTTTATATGACGACGGACAGTGTTCTCACGCACTTATTCACCCCAGTCCGCGCCCGTCATATCGGGCCAATCTGAGCAGAGGATTAGTCAGGCACCACACCTAGGATACGCCAAATCTCGGAGAAAGTTGACTATGATGATTAAGCCAACAACACCCACGGCTCAGCCGGCTCGCACGAGCACGGGTGAGAACAGGGCCGTATCACCCTGTTTCTCGATCGGGGGTGAGCCGCGAGCAGTTAAACCACACCTTGGCAGCAAATTCAACTCTAACCGAATATTTCCTGCTCCAAAAGTGCGCAACGCTCCACTACTTGTTCGGGCCTGCAGGACAATAGACTCACCTTCACGCTCGGGGTTGAGCGCTGAAAAGTCGTGGACCAAGATGAATCCACAACGCAGGGAGAGACTCTTTACGACGTGTGAGCACCAGAACCAGGGGACACCATTTGAAAACCATCCGACCCGTCAGTATCCAGCTCGGACCTGGACCCGAAGCGCGTCCTATCAAACATCTGGATGTGGTGTCGTTTATCGACGAGGTAGGTCAACCCCAGCTTACATGCGCTTTAGCTCGAGCCATCGAGAGCGGAGCGTTCATCCAGCCGACGGTGTAGTCTGGGGATTGGACATACTCGCCGCGAAGGAGACAAGCCGAAGAGGCAGTTGCGCAACTCAATGTCAGCCCTTGCCAATCCGAATTGTTAAATGAGGTTCAAACCTAAGCCATGGCTCAATAGTTGAGATGAATAAAGAAGCATGGTAACGACACTGAATCAGGCTGAGAGATAAAATAGTGGCTCAAGAGCTTCATCGCTATCGTCTAGCTCCCCGTCCAAGCCAGTCCTCCTTGGGCTGACCAGAATATATCTCACATTTTTGGAACTTGTTGGCCCTTCTCCTGCAGATTTTGCTGGTTGATCCAAATGTCATCGCTCCACGAGCGCCGCTACCAGGTCGTCCTGATGGTATATAGCTGGGGAATGTTCAACATCGCGTGCCGCCAATCCCCTTTCAGCCGTCAAAGGAAACCCGATTACATTCACCAAGCCCTTTTAGGCTACTAACGGTGCCCACTCGTTATATCCTTTCTTCCCTTCAACGTACGATTCCGTTTGATCCCTCCCTTCGATGCACGCATCCCGGGAAGGATTCGCAGAAGGAGGGAAGTCATTGCTTCAAGTGGTTCGAGTTGGTTGAGCCGCCCAAGTGCGAGTGCGAATGTGAATGCGAATGCGACCTCTCTCGTTGACACGGATGACGACCTCCAATCGATCCGCACGAGTATATCGCTCGATCAAATCGAATGCTCGACCTGGCATGTGAAAGCTATTCTGAGGCATGAAAAACTCGTCCAAGAAACCTCGGGCGCCCCGGATCCGGGCGCGGACATTAATTGCATGTCCCTAATACATGCGCAAGTGAACAATGTCGGCATTAAGCCTCGTCACAAACTCTAAGAAACCCAAATCTGCGTTCCAAACGGACGTGCAGTCAGCGCCTTGGGCTTCGATGACGTGTTCCTTCAATTTCTCTGGTAGAGCCGCAAGCCAGCTCGGCCAGATCCTCATGCGTTTCGCCGTCAGTGAAAACCTGCAATCACCAAGTTTCAAGATATTGGAGGATACATCATCTTTTGAATGGGTACAAATTGTCGACCAATATGCCACTTTATGTCCTGTATGAAAAGCATAACATCAAAGGTAAATCTATAACTCACAGACCCATCAACCAAAAGACCTACACGAAATATATCTTCCTAGCATCAGCAGCCAATGACTTGCCTTCAAGGCCTTTTGAAAAGAGGGGTTAATGGGACACATGACGATGCTATGGAGCGATTCACGCAGCTATACAAAAGCGAAAGGAGAGATATGAAGAGGCCGAAGAACGCGCGAATGGGAAAAGAGTTGCATCTCAATACGAAGATGCTGGCACTAATACGTCCGCTGATGCTCGCGATGTCTTTAGTAGCTTTCCCGCCATTACTGCGCATGATAGTGCAGCTGAACCCGGATACGGTGCCATAGACGTTGAGGACGCCAGGAGCCCCCGCGTATCGGTGCTGACCACGCCGACGGTCAGCCAACCCTACCAGAAGCAGAGCGCAACGTAGTCCTTATACCGAATGGGGACATTAATAGCGGCAACCAACAATCATGGGCTAGAAAACATGTATCGGGGGTATTTCATTTTCATACGGCTTCTCCTCCTGCTGGCGATCAACCGAAATTGTACAAGGCTCGAGCAGTGCATCACGAAATCGCCTTCTAAGAAGGTCGAAAAGTGATCATCTACGAAGCACGACGGTCCATCTATTGAGGCCGAGCCGTTAAAGAAGAAGCGCGATGCTTGATCATCTTCCGAGACGCGTAACAACACTCATGGGTTTTGTTATAGTCGCTACCTAGTACTTTCATCCAGATATGCTGCCTCGTCTCCTTATTCTCCTGCTTGGATACGGCTCTTATCTTTCGACGAGGAATCCTTCATAGGAAGCTCCAATGAGGCGGATCATCCTAGGTAGATCTTATCGAGATCTCCGCCTGAGAACGGTGTGATGAGCTGAACCGGGGGTTCGCAAACGCTTAGTGCCTTGAGCCCTCGGGCTACGTCCTGTCCTTCACCAAGCTTACCCATGCCTGCTGGATGGATGTATTCCGCCTGTAGACAATATAATGCTTGGTGAATATCGATACTCCTGTGCCCGCCGCCAAAACTCCATCGTCAAGGCACAATCAACACAAAAGTCTCATACCCAATCTCATCCATTCCCTCTTCACTCCAACGTACCGGCGCAAAAAGCCTGTACCTCTGGGACACTCGCAACATCCTCAAACGCAAACTCCGGCGCAATGACAGCCAGTCCCACCTCCAAGTCCTCGATAAAATCACAGAAGAAATCACCGCCGCCCGCGGCTTGAAATTCCCAAGTTGCATCAATGTACGCTTCAGCGCCAGGAAGCTTGGCCTGCCGCCATTGTGGAGAGAAATACCCGACACCGGCAAAAGAGGCCGTGTGGCAGAGAAGAGTGTGTTCGGTGACGGGTTCCGGGTGGTCGCGGACGTGAAGAGTTTTTCCGCCGCCGAAGAGTCGAGAGAGTGGAAGGTCGTTGAATTTGTCGCGCTTGACGAAGGTGACATAGGTCTGATTTGAGCAGGAGCTGGGCTTTTCGGACCCCGTTTGCGCTGTCAATGCGGCGGATTTGATCATTGCGTTTCGCAATGTAGTTGAGTTGTAGGAGCTTGAGGCAACTTTGATCACGAGTTCGCCGCCTGTGTCTAAGCTATCCGCGCTCACGTACTCGATATTTGGGATAGTTATACTACCTGTCTCACAGACCGTGAAACTCTGTGTCTGAGTTACTGTTGGACAGAGACTTTCTAGAGCGCTAGAGACGGATGTATATAGGGCTGTTCCGGTTAATGTACCGACGTGCACGGCGGAACTTCCTGCCTGGACCGTGACTTGTGCACTGGTAGGTGTACATGACGCGACAGTTGTGCAGCTGGGTGCGTTGAATCCAACTTGAGTACAGGCTTGACAATTTTGGGTGTATGTAGAGGCCAATGTTGTAACGGCTTCATGAGCGGTGGCGGGGAGGGTCGTATATGCACAGCTGTCGCTCTGATGGCCGGTGGACCCTACTGAAAGAGGTGATAGGGTTTCAATACTGTCGCAGAGACAGTACGCTTGCGTAATGCCTTGATCTGGGTCCTGGTCGTGCAAGACGCAAGATGGTATGGCTTGCGGAGGGATGATTGTAGAAGCGGAAGACGAAGCTGTGGAACTTTCAGTATCGCTTGAGATGATCAGTGAGGGCGGACAAGCTGAGACTTGTACGAGTAGTGTATCATCATCATCTCTTTTGGACCTCCGAAATCTAGCAGGAGCAGCAGCCGGGGGGAGGGACGGGGCAGGAGGGACTAGGATAGCACTCGCTGAACCTTCAGGGAGCAAAGGATTATCTAGTCCTGGTGGTGATTGCCCATTTTCCCGTTCAATAGATTGTTGATTGTTGTTGGAAACGTCGATGCTAATGATACGCGCAACAGCGGTGTTGCGCTGCAGCACTGGTAGCTCATAAGTGCGCCAGATGTTGGGATCTGTTTGCGTAGCGGGTGGAAGCTGAAAGGCGCCGAGTAGGTCACCGTTGCCCTTTCGCTGGCCGACGTAGAGTATGGCGTCACCGCTTGTAGCCAAGGCGAACGCCTCCGCCGAGCGTGCAATGAGGAGATCTGTTCTCTCGCGTACATCCCATCGAAATCTAGAAGATTTGGGGTCCGTTTGGGGGACCGAAGGCGCGCTCATCACTGTTTCCCAGTAATTGTCATCCAGAATATCGTAGTAGACGTTGCCCATTGGTGTGAGTTGATCTCGAAGGGCACCGATGCCCTTTTTGATCACACCAAAGGCGTAAAAGACACTCTGAGCTCCATTGGCTCCAATTATCCCACAGGTCTTGATGTCTGCGAGCAGACACTCGACTGTGGGAAAGTAGATGCTAGGATCTTGACAAGCCCACAACTCTCCCGGGGGCGGCACACCCAGACATACTTTATTAGACGCTGTGTCGTCGGAAGAGTCTTCTTGCACAACATTTGACTGATCTGAGAAGCAGCTACCAGCCAGAGCCGGCATGATGTGCGCTCCAAGCAATATCAAAAGGAAAAACAAGAGTAGGACCATCTTTCTTGCCGTATAAAGGGGACTGGGTATTTCTATAGCTGGGAAAAGAGGTGTGATGATCCTTCCGCTCTGGATTTTGTGATCAATGGTAGTTTCTGTATATCTGAAGGTCGTTAACTGGAAGCTAGGTGCTCGATCTAGACTCTCTGAGTCTGGTTATATAACAACACGCAATCGTGCAAAGGAGGCCGTGCTACCTCTATCTTTGCCGGCCTTCGTCCGCTTCGGGGGCTGCTGCTGGGGAACTTGAGGCTTCATGTCGCAAGATATAATAAATCTCAAGCGAGATGTCTCGACCTCCTCGCAAGCTCAGCATGCTTTCCACCAGAACTTTACACTTCTGCGGCGGGGGGAAAAATAACGTTGGCGGCTGCTTCCAAAATGCAGCCGTGAAGGCTATAGTTTTGTGGCATCTTCAGACATTACATTAGATTTTCGCTAACAGAGCAGCGGAGCCTCCCCTAGTCTCGGTATCATGAACTGCTCAACACCAAACAGATATAAACCTAGTCAAACGCTTACTTAGCGCCGGCGAGGCGGATTCTCCAGCCCGACATCGTAAGGTCAAGTGTTTGAGCTGTGAGGCTTAAGTCGGAGATCGAAACAACCACTGTCTTGTCAGTCAAGGATCCGAAGCCAAAAAAAACATGGCGCACATCTCGAGGTCAAAAGACTGGGCCGGTTGTCAAGGCCCAGGCGAGAATTATACGAATCCACTTCAATATAGAAAGTGACAGACAACTGCCGGGACGCGAAATATTGGACTGTGAATTGAAGAGGTCAAAATTGGCGGAAACTGAGGCTTGGCAACATCATGTGACTTCATGTGACCATCTGTGCCGCCGGCAAGTTAGGTCGGCGGCTCAACCTGAGGCGTTAGATAGAGCCCAGATAGACGCTCAGCGTCATCGCCTGCAGCCTCCTGGTTACAAGCAACCATTCGTGCCATCAGGCAACCACAAAAGACCTAAACCAGTCCAACAATTCATGCATTGTGAACCAAACTACGTTCTCCGTACAGGGCCCGGCGCGTATTCATGAGTTTCGAGAGAGCGCTCCGCCACCAAACTAGACGCCGTCAACACTGTGCCCTCTGACTGCGATGCTCGATGTAAGCATCTTATGCTAGTCAAAAGCTTCCGCTTCATATAACAGTCCAGCCTCAGACTTTGTACGGAATTCTGTCAACTTCTGTCATTTCTGAAACCTACACCACGCATTTTCAGAATGGTCGAGTTCGATGCAGCGTCCTCTGACCAGTGGCAGGAAGCAATGCTGAAAGCCTGCAGTGCCGGTCGACTGGATGAGCTACAGATACTGTTCAATGAGCACGGCATTAAGCCTGGTAGCCCTGCTATACGATATTACGAAAGAACATCAGAGAGTGCACCGACGACGAGCCACTTGTTCGCCGCAGCTATTTCCCATGGACACCAGCCGATTGTTCGACACCTATATTCAGTCTACCCGGAAGTCGAAATTAGCGACGGTGTAATTCCCGACGCACTTCTGAAGCCGCCTCTGAATCCTGATATGCTTAAACTAGTCTGCTCGCACACACCTGAAATTGCCTTTTTTGAGTACGAAGACCACATGACGAGCTTATTGGGTAAAGCTTGCGAAGGGGGTGCCGACAACGCGCCTTTTATACACGTTCTCTTGGACCACGGAGCCTTAAGCAAAATGACTCACAACTGCACGTCCCGTATGGGCGGACCGCTGACACGAGCTGTGGAATGCGGCCAACCTATCGACGTTGTTAGCAAGATGGCCCGCGATACCTCTCATCTTGATTTTCCTATCAATTCAGCGCTATTTCATAGACGTGCCGATGTCCTCGACGTACTATTGACCGAGAAGAGAACCAGAGGACGTTCTTCCCCCATTCACCTATTAAGAGCGCGGTCGTGGCTCGAGGGAGAGAAGAATAAAGATATGATCCATGTGCTTAAACGCCATATCAAGAGCTGCGAACAGCAATTAGCCGAATCTCCTCAGAGAGGCCTTCAAGCGACGAGGAAAGACGATGCTAAACAGTGGTGGCCATTCGGCGGCATAGGGACAGAGGCAAAAGGCAAGATCAAGGACCAGAGGAGCTCAACAGCAGTTGAAAGCGAGGGCCCTTCAAAATCATGGTGGCCGTTATCGAAGAAAGGAAATAAACTCGAGTCTGCCGATGTACAACACCGTGAGAAGATGAAGCGGGTTGACTATTTAAGTTCTGATGAAGACACGGGAAAGGACGGTTAACAATACTCTACGCTGGGGCAGTACTGTGTATATCTTCCTAGTGGAAAGGAGATTAGACTCGAACCTCCTGAAAATTTCTCTGTAATCGTCGTTAGAATTTGCCATTGATCAACATAGCTAGCTTGACTCAAAACCAAGTTCCCCTTTTGCATCCTCAGTGTCCTTACCTCTTCCACACCAACTCTTGAAAAACCATCTAAGACAAGGAATAGACGCCGACTCCACAGAACATAGCCAGCGACAAGGAGGCTAAATAAGTGGAAAGTCAGGCGCTAGAGTTGTGATACACAGAACAGGAATGGATCTATCTGCTTGATTGTGTCTTGTCCCTCTGCCTATTCAGTGAGACTTTGCCCTATTTATATACAATTTGGCCTGTGATCTGGAGGCCATTCCTGAAACCTCCTATTCCGCCGTCATGCTATCGCAGAACGGCGAGAACAACGGTGTTGAGGTGAGTGGCGCAGTTGGTGAGACGGCTAGCGTCTCAGTGGTTTGCCGCAGTGGCTATCTTGCAACCCTGTCAACAAGAGTCCTGTCCCTGGTTTCTACGCTTTTACGGCGGTGATAGATTATTGATACCCTGGCTGCAAGGAATAAAGCTCGCGCCACCGAGTCCCGCTTGAAAGGTTTCCGGAGGCCAACAAGATGCTCTAGCAGCAACGGTACAGCAATACGGCGATATCTTAGCTCAGACCTTCGTTCTTCCGGATGTAAAAGTCGAGGAATTGGTGCTGAGGAGTGATGGTGCGCCAGGATGGGAGACTGTCGACTGGACGTATCTCGAACACTAATAGCGCTTCTGAATCGCTTGTAAGGTCTTCTGCACTTCATTCGACGCTCGGGCTGGTCCGCTTTATATGTGGTCTTGAGCTTTCTGTCTCTTGGCCTTGATATCGCATTTTTAGTCCTTCTCAAAAACGCCAGCGGGCACATCAACCTTCTTGTACCCATCGACCACCTCGTTAGATCGGACCGGGTTCATGAGACCTTGTGGTCCGTTCAAGCCACTAGCATTAGGTAGAGCATCCATATTGCTTTCTCTCTCCTAGCAGCGCGATCAAGATCACCCATTCAGCGCTAGCATTGGGTAAAGACGCATCACCGCACAGACGGAAGGATCGAAGTTTCCAGGCAGCAGGCATAATAGCTGAAACGAAAAAGGGGGGGACCGGTGGCAAGTGCAGCCGAGGCCCCCAAAGGGGCACGCCTCCGTAAGTTCGGGGCGTACATACTCGGTAACCTCATCTTAAAATCACGGAGTATAAGTTTTTCCGCTCCGAGGCCAAATCATACCCCTCAGAAAACTGAGGCATAAACCTCAAGTTTCTGCAGCAGTTAATTGTGGATCAGGATGGATGCAGACTGTATCGCTGCCGGAGCAGCGTTGCTAGGTCGAATTCATGGCAAACCATCGGGCCTCCCCTCGACTTCGCATAGTCGCCAGCCCCCTTTTAGCCGTAAAGCAACGTGACCAAGAGTTCTACATTGAACAACACAATTTGCTACCATCCTGGTCCTAACGGCCTGGGCCGGCACCTAACTCGATCAGTAAAGGGACCATCGCCTGATTATCGAACTGAGTCGCTGTCATCAAAGGTGTCCAGCCGGTGCTGTCCTGACATTCTAGGTTCACACCTAGCTCAATAAGTAGGCGGGCTACCGCCTCGTGACTTTGCTGAGTTGCCCATACTATTGGGGTATAACCGAAGTCTCTGTGTTCCGGCTCCAGGTCAGCACCCAGACCGGCTAGAAGCCGGACCGTTTCCGCATGCCCTCGTATAGTGGCTAGCGACAGGGGCGTCCATCCCCATGTATCATGCAGATCTGGTTGATATCCTCTTTGAATTAACGTCATCATGAAGTGTATCAGCCCGAACCATGCAGCTAAGTGTACACCTGTTGTCTGTATTCGCGTCTCTTCACTGCAATGATCCCAGGATTTGGCTGATGCAAACAAAACTTGACTTGAAGAAGCAACTTTTGAGTCACTGATAAGAAACTGAAGAACTTCTTGTTGAGTCTCCACATCTTCTTTGATATGCTCTCCCCAGAATCGGCCTGCGTAGCCATAGAGTGGATTAGTTCGTAGCCTTTCCATGAACTTTTCGGCAGTGTGACAGATGCCGCTTTCAAAATTGTTGAAGGACAAATAGGTAATGCAAGCCCTCGCGATGTAGCTTTCTGGCTCTGGAAACCAAGCCCCTTGCTTCGTGAAGTACTCTTGTGCCGTATAGTGAACGAGTCGGATGACTTAACTTTGTTCATCGACCGTGACCAGACCAGCACTGACAGACAATACAGTGCCCTGGTCGGGTACATTGTCATCATCGGATTCGCGATCGCCAATGACTACGGCAAGGGCGTGCCGTGGCTCCAAGACGATAAGTGGACGCTTTGCATACCTGATCCAAGACAGAATTTTCTTTGGTAGTGTCCGAAACCCTGGGTTGTCCGTCGATTCTCTCTATTGCGTGTTTATAAGCTTCAGCCAATGCCTCAAGTTTCATGTGTTGGTTGGATTCTCCTTAAGTCTTCATTCCGAAATCTGCCAAATGTATTCTTGATTTCCCTTAAAGAAGTCTTATCTTGGAGTGAATCCAAATAAAGTTGTGCTAAGAGGAACCTTCGTTGGGTATTAGCTGGACCGTGTTGGTCTCACAGGCTGGCATAGCACATACATTCCACCTACAGCCCCTATAATTCGGTTCTTAATCTCTTCCTGCTGATCTTGCCTCTCCAGCGTAAAAGATACTGGTTCTGAGATGCGTCCATCAAGATATGTTGACATGTCTTCATCGCTAGCAAGAATCTCTAGTGATACAAGTGACGCACATGCCCTGAACTCCTCCTTAATGTCGAGCATTGGCCGGGAGGTTGCGAAAATGTTCAAATTTGTATCTGCCTGAAGTCCGACAATTTGTGATAGTAAGTTTTCGTCGACAAATAGGAGATAATTCATCCAACCCGTCAACAAGAATTAATGTTCTTGAGAATGAAGCAACTAAAGAGTGTAGCACTCTCAAGATTTCATCGGGTGACAGTCGCGTTCCTCTAGCTTGGTGCTGATGATAAAGATCTTGAATCTCGGCGGGTGTGGATGACCGATTCTGGACTAGCTGTCTGAGTAGGCTAGATAGGAAGGTGGCAGCATTCTGATTCTCTTGCTGGCGAAAATTACAATAAACATAAGCAATTCCGATTGTAGTATCTCTGTTGTATCTTTTTTGGAGATCGTCAATCACAATTGATGTTATGATCGTCTTTCCCACTCCCGGAATCCCTTGGCAAAACAATGTCTGTGTGAGGGCCCCTAGCCAGTTGCGATACTCTTGTGAGTTGAGGAACCACTGACCGGTTCCCGGCTGATGCTTCATCATGAAGTCGTTTTGCTGAGAGACAAATTCTGTGGGCGAAAGTGACTGGAGGCTAGCTTGTTTCATTCTCTCAGTCTGTACGTTGACAACGGTCTTGATATCCTTCTGAATATCTATTACATATACAAAGATATTAGGCTGATGGCTCCTATGTTTTTGAGGCTTACCTACCAAAGAGAGACCCCGAAAATGTTTCGGTGATCTTTTTCTCAGCTTGCACTCTGTTTGGTGGGATTCGAAGCAGGAGATCTTTCGTATACGCATCAGCCGCCTTTGCTGCATATCCCTGCCACCGCTTATTCTTATGAGAGTCCGAGTAATCGCATATGCCGCGGACCACCAGGCAAGGAAAGTGGTTCATAATACCCGCTGCCTCCATCTCAAAACACAGAACACCATACTTTGCCGCGCTATTTCAAGCTGAGGCATCGTTTATCACTCGATTCGCTGAAGCAATCAATCCGTATTGTATGGCGGGGTCATCGTCGTCTTCTGTTCTAGGTTCACGGAAAACAATCTTATAAGTCTGAATCACAGGTTTCAGAACAGTCTCTCTCGTCGTTCGGAGGATGAGCGACTGTTGTCAGATATAGTTAATCTGTTTTCGGGTCCGTCCGCCGGTATTTCTTTCGTAGTCTTGGTTTATTCTCAAGCGTGGTATCAATAGTTTCTTTAAGCCGATGGCCATCGCTCTCATATTGCGCCCTTAAGCCAGCGACAACTGTTCGGAGAATCGGTGGTGGTTGATTTAAGAGTCCTGTAGTTTGAAATTCCTGATTCTGCCTCTCTTTGCCGAAGTCGGACTGAAATACTCCGCCTTTTCCATCGCGAGGAGCACTAACCACAATGTCACCAAGGCGTATATCATTCTTCTGACTTGGTACACCGCCAGCGATGCCGATTAATAGACCAATACGCACATTAGGAAAGCTGTGCACCATGTCTCTTGCGACAGTTGCTGCGGACTGTGTACCATATTCTCCATCGGGGCAAGCGGCGATGACTACATTATGTTTTCCAACTCTTCCCAACGTGTAGTCATTGTTGTCATTGGTGGACACGAATTCTGGGCCATCATGCTTCTCGTCAAGGAAGGCCTGCGCGGCAACGTACTCTGTGCTGATGGCACATATCCAGCCGGCGGTGTAGTCTAGGGGATTGGACATACTCGCCGCGAAGGAGTCAAGCCGAAGAGGCAGTTGCGCGACTCAATGTCAGCGTTTGCCGATCCGAATTGTTAAACGGCATTCAAACCTAAGCCATGGTTGGCGACATATGCCGTGAACTATCACGTGAACCTCGCCCCTTTCTATGTACCAATAACTCTGTCGTCCGAACTCGAGATGAGCGAAGTTAAGGCAGTGGTGTGGGGGTAAGGATTGACTAAGTTCAAGGAGGCTTTTCTCTTAAACCAATGTCTACTGAGAGGTGCAAACCTCAGAATACCGAGGTATTTCATTGTAGTTCGATAGGAATAGATGCACAGCGCATCAACCCATGGTGTCCGTACGTCATTCTGTCTCCTCGAGTGCTGCAAAGCGATCTGTAAATTCGGTGTTATAGTGAAGGCGTGCCCGTTCATCCAAATATCCCATTCATTGCTCATGTCACCCCAAGTATGATAGTGCTTCGTGGGATGGTTTGTCTTCGAGCGAGCTCGTCTGAAACAGATGTCCAACTGAGAGGCAGGTGTGGCCGATTGTTAGCTGGCCTCATTTAGCCCTGAGTGTGTTGCTCAGGGGGTGCTCAGGGAGCGCGCAGGAAGCACTCAGGAAGCACTCAGTGATGCTCAGCTAGTGGCTGAGTCAAAGCTCAGGTTAAAGCGGCCTTCGCTCATGCTCTAGGATCAAACGGTATATGGCAATCGGGTTTTCCGTTCCTGGGTACTCTAGGAAGTAGTGAATGTAGTTATTGGTGGTGACTTAAAAAGAGAGGACGAGTCCTTGAATAAAGGATCAGGATCAGAATGTCCTGGCGCCGAAGCACCATACCAGCCCCAACGGTCGAGCCCTTCTTTTTACGGCATGCCATTTCTCCGAACAATCTTGGTCTGAGAAGGACCTTTACATTGTTGTCGAGGCCTGCTGGGCGCCCTGGATCGGTTCGTCCCAGACCCAGCGGTCCTTGGTGTAGAGCTCCGCGCCGGGTTTCGGCGGCGATGTTTTGAAGTCGTCGAATAGCGCGATGCGCACCACTACGTGCCGCAAGGATAGGAAGTGAGTTAGATACGTAGTCACAACTGTTTTTTGACTTTTTTTAACAGCGTTCGCGTAGCGAACAATTGTGGGAGAACAGAAGATTAGAGATGTATGTGCAACTCACGAGCTTGGCCGGGCAGACCCTCCTTGGCGAGCCCGTAGATCGGACTGCCGCAGATGTCGCAGAAATGACGGTCGACGGTGCGGCCGCTGTCGGTATTCTTGTCGGCGTAGTGCTTGATGGGGCCCGCGAAAGTGACCTTTTCCAGCGGGACGAACATGGCGAAGCCGCCTCCTGCAACCAGATCAGTGCCCGAGTATAATGCACGTCTTTTAAAAGCGTCGATTGAAGTCTGACTGGCCCCCAGGGGGGAAGGGGGAGGGGGAAGTGGAGATATAACATACCTGCACCGCTGGTTTTTTTGCAATTCTGACAGTGGCAGACAAATGCATTGGGGGTTCCCTCAAGAGGGATGTCGGCCTCGACGGTGACGGCGCCGCAATTGCAGGACCCGTGCATGTTGGAACGGTATGATTGATATCAATGCGGGTGGTTTTCGCAAGTCCTTCGGTTCTTTGACCATTGTGATTCACTGGATAGTTGTATGCTTATATTGTCATGCGGGTAGTCTGGTTCAGGACAAGAGGCGAAGCTTGAGAAGGGACTGCGCGCGTAGAGAACCGGCGTTGTAGATGGCGCCGACGGTACGGAGCCTCCAATGTCTTCGAAATAATGTTGTCGCTCAAGTCTCGATGATACCCACGGAGGCGATGATACTCTCGTGGATTCCAAACTAATTAGGTATAGCCGATGTCCGGAGCCGAGCTCCTGGTACGCACGTAGGAGAATCCGATCAAACAGGATCACCGCTCAGCATTTCCCAGTCAAAGAGCGGGTACGGGGAGATTCAAAACAAGAATTTCCTTACCATGAAATCCGTGTGATGTGATGAGCTATGTTAATTGTGTGCGGCGTCTCAGTGCCTTCTCGTCGCAGGTCAGACGGGGTTTAGAAGAACGTCAAACGTTGACCGATCCATGGCCAGCATAATCAGACATGATTTCCCTGTTCAGGGACATGGTGACGAGTCCCTAAAGCGGTGAATGGGGACATACCACAAGCGGCTGGTGGCGATGGGATGGCTCAGAGTCCATTCCAGCCTTCTTCGGCGTAGATGGCGTGGCATCTCTGCGAATGTCCTCGATGGGTTTGTAGACAGATTGATAAGCTCTATCGACACGAAACCATGAGATGCACTGCAAGGCCGTAATGCTGAGCATAGGGACTGTCGACCGTTTCCCAGCCAGCAGGTCTGACTTGCCCAGCAATTCAGCGTTTGGCCAAGATCTGACATGAGGCGACCGTCTCATTCTCGAGGGCAAAGCTCTTGATGCTTTCCTGCAGCACACTCTTGGTGATCCTCGGCAACGAGCTTGAAAGTGACACAGACAATGACACTTACTAAGTTTATTGTTTGCTTCACCTCCACAAGAAGACGATGCACCTTGACAGCAGATGACCATCCGATCTCAAACATAGCAATAGTTAAGCTCCAATTAGCTGAATCGTCTGCAATTTTCGTCTGTGAGGCAATGTGATCAGTGAACGTGGATCTTTGTGATTATCCAGGAATGGACGTGAGTGAACACGGTCCTACAAGTTCTCCCTGGCCATGAGCCGTTGTAGTAGGCTAACCTGAGCCGATAGATCCTGAGTCCGCTGCTATGAAGAGCTAAGCAACGACGAGTGGAGGGTCCAGGAGAATTTCCACGTCGAGCAAGTGATGCATCCCCTCCCAGAGTCCGTCAAACGACCAAATCCGGGTTGAAGTTTCTCGAGGACAAGAGACGGGCGGCTTAGATCTTGCAAACGGGAAGAGAGCTCACCATCGGCATTCGTGGTCCGAAATCGTCAAAAGTGTATTGGAAGATTGTGTTTGTCTGGGGCAGTTTGTCGACCTTGTCGGAGGCTTTGTCCATGTCCACCGAGATAGGCCTCTCCACCTATCATAAGGAGATACCGGGCAGTAAGGAAAAGCTCACTAATAAGTCCTGCGTACAAAACGATCTGCAGGCAAAGATGGCTTCAAAGCTGACGCACCTCAGCAGACAGACACAACACAGAAAAAAATCAAGCTAGATGCATGTGTCTCCATGTCGAGTGGTTCCCACAGTTGTTTGACAGGTGCAAACAAATTAACTGCCTGATTCAATACGCTTGCACCGCATAAAAGGGAGGTGTGGTGTAGAATGCATGTAGCGAGCTACTTTTCGTTCCTCACCGTCTTCCTCACCAGTGTTTGGAGTCAAGGCAACATCCATCTTCCCACTCCCGCAGGGTTACCGGGACGACATCTCGCAGCAAAGTTGGAAACGACACTCTTTGTAGACCATTCAAAATCCAGCCAGCAAAATGGGCGACAGCGACAGCACCAAAATTTGGGTCCCGATAACGGTTGTCGGTCTCATCCTCGTCTTTCTCCTCGCAATGTGCTGTCTTCCCTGGCGTAGCGACGACTACATCGAACGACAGTCCAGGGGAAGAACACCATCACGCCATTTGCCAACAGGATTACCTTGGGAAGAGATCACCACGTTCAGCTCATTTCCGACTCGACCTGGACCAGTGTTTCTGGGACCACGCGGCGGCCGACGAGGACCGAGTCCATCCTGGGGCGATAGGGGGCTATTGTATTATCCTGGAGTCAACATCATCGAAAGAGAACCTATATTCGCACGGAGATGATCGATGGGTTGAAGGATGGGAGAATCTCGCGGGAAGCTGTGGTTAGGTGACATGGAGCCCCCAGGACATGTTGTACGGTGTCGACGGAGGTGTGTTGGCACGGCTCGGGGGGACGAGGAGACTGCTAGCAGAGGCAGGGATGATGGAATCATGTTTCGGTCATGAAGATATGGTGGGATGAAGGATGTGGATGAGTGAAGGGTGATGGTTGATGGGAATGGTGGTGTTGAAATGGATGCTGCGCTGAGACATGCCAACGTGCCAAGTTGGGATTGAGCCGCGTGAAGTTGGTCTCGACTCTCGACTCTCTATTTTCCCTCAACTACCCTGTCTCATCTTCCCCCTCCTCATACCTAAACGCCCAGGTTGAGCTGCTACTCAACTAATGACAAACATTCATCGCTAATTGCAGCTTCGGATGTACTGGTTCGAATGCTCAACAGAAAACGCTGAGCCATCACCCAAGACTTTTTCGACGCAAGTTCGCCTGGTCGTCCAGCCATCGAGTCCCTTCTCTCTAACCTTTTGAACTCAATATGTATCATGTCTATGAGGCCCGAGATAACTTTCAAGATTCTACTCAGATTCAGCACCTGCCTCTCCGCTAGATACAATTATATGTCCTGCAACGTCGCTTTCACAAAATGAAACCGCGCCAGCGAGCTATCTTCAAAGTCGTTTTAGAAGAATAAGAACTCGGTCTTCGGAGATCCTCGGCATGGGCAACTCCAACGCCTGGTTGAAACACGAACTCAGGAGAGATGCTGTGATAACGGGGCGTACACCTGCCGATAGATACGGATTTCTAGCACACGACCGAAACATCTCATGCTGGGTGCCTGCAGTAAAAGACCATTGATGTGCCGATGACCACTGCGCCTTGCATGGCAAAAGCTCTATAGCAGGGCACCGCAACCGGAGAACTGGGCGCAATTAGATTTACGATTTGGGCATTTAGACGCATGTGTCTCCGATGACACGAGGGATCCTGACCAGACAGACGCCTCTCTCTGCTTTGTCGGCTGAACCTCGAGCTATATGAAGGACATACTGTATCTGCTTGGCCAGTTCTCTGCGAAAAGCCTCTTCTTGCGGAAGCGTCAGCCTAACCAAGACGCTATTTTCAACGCCCAATGGATAAATCGGGCCACATTAACTACTAGCAACCAATCGATCTTGATTCTGGTATCCTCCGCTTATCACTCGACCGGAAGAAATGTTGTTGACATGACTTGCTCACTGCCCGCGAGATCGTTGAGTCGTTGGGTATCAGGCCGCAGCTAGACTTGAAGCGGAATAAACCAGTTGTTGTCTCGAAGACTATTCGTCGCCTCATGCTAGCACGTCCGATCGATTCTCCAGCTGCTGCCTAAGTATTGTCAACCGGAGAGGGGCAGGACAAGAGCAAGGCGCATCCTGGGCTTATTGTGACAAGGTATGATGATTCGGGCTTGAGACAGCTCCCTATCGGCAGAGCTCTCGTCGGCACTCCACTCTCTAAGGAGAATGTTTTGACAGGCTTGACGGACTTGGCCAGCCCACCCGCAACGCCGGACAGGCCCCCCTATCAACTGTGTGCCTAGAGCCGCAAAACCCTCGGACTCTGCCCAGAAGTCGACTTCTCTCATCCTTGCCCACTTCTGTTCATTCATCACTATCCTGCACAGCATAAGCAGATGGCTTCTCACGCTACGAGGCGACGATGGTGGCTCTGAAGCGGTTGTGTCTGGGTTGGTCATAGAGACTACGGCAAAATTTGATCTTGTCAACAACTCACCTGAGCACATTCCCGCACCTCCAGTCACAACTATAGCCCATAGCCATGGTTAAGTCCACGAGATTGACTGTGAAGATCTTACTTGGGATCATCAACGACTGGACCACCCAGAATGGAGAAGAAGGAGGAAAATGAGATGGTCTGCGATACATTTACGATAATGCACTATCCTATCGAAAATCAACCCAACAATACCATCCATAATCTACCACGCAATGGAAAGGGCGTTTCCAACACAACGGATGGGGCCAACGAGCAAGAAGTTCTTAGTCGGATCAAATCTAGAGTTGCTTTGATCGAATCCTCCTCGGGAGATAGGCAGTTGGCGAGCGCCTTGTCTCAAGGCAGCAACATCCATCCTGCCGCTCAGTTGGTCGACTACGAGCCTTACATCAATCCATTTACAGGTCAACAGTTCATACCTAACTGCCTTGATGAGCCAGGCCCGTCATATCCTACAAAGAGGGTCCCTTGTACTTTGATTGCAAGTCGGCTCCATGCAATTGAACACAAACATAAAGCCTCCAGCGGCATTCCACGATATGCCGAACCTCCTGTTTTCGTAAATTCTGCCAAACATCGCAACCTCCATTCCCCACAAGGTCTCTTACATACCAGATCAAAAGACCCAACCTCAGAGGTAGCTCCGTGCGACACATTGTCGGAAGCTTTTGGCGGCAGTCCGTTACCGTCAGAAAACACAGCATACGCCCCCAATGCATGTACAAATGTGAGTATGTCGCTCAACCCGAGTAGTGCTAGATCTCACCTCGATCTGCCTTGTCCAGCTGGGAATCCGAGGCAGGCATATGAAGATAATCAGGGAATCGAGCCTTCTCTGCAGGAATCCGAGGAGGAATTGGCATTAAGAGGATGGAATAGAGAATGGAAAAATCATGTGGCTGCAACAAAGGGTAAACATCATACGGGGCTGAAGGCGATGCCTGATGGGCTGCGGGCTGACCTTCCAGATTCGAAACAGCAGCATCAATGCGAAGTGGATCGCAGTTGTACCATGAAACTTACTGGGGACGTTCCCCAAGACCATCAGATGCTTCTCAAGGCCGAGACAAGCCGTTTGTCGGAGGAGAGAAAAGAAATGCAGGTGGACCAGGACGAGACCGATCGGCGAGACCAAGAAGAGATGAAGGCTACATTCGAGCAGATCCACAAGTATCAAGACGGATGGAATCGGGAAGTCGACTTGATTGTTCGCCAGGAGCATGGTACGGCACGGCAGGTCGCGGCGAGGGAAGAAAGGAGAGAAGAAGGACAGGCACCAGAAGAGATGAGGCGCTTTCAAAGCCAAATGCAGACAGAGGACGACCGTATGTTCGAGACTAATCAGAAGCTAGCTCGCGCTTTCTCCGAGATTGAGAATGAGGCAGGACTTCCGCCGGACAAGCAGGGACACCCACTTCCCACCTGGACGGAGCAGTCACTTTATCCGGAGACGCCTTGTCCTTCAACATGGCCGGAGAGAGAAGGAAACGCACAAGACCAGAGTTGGGGGGTCAATCCATTTCGATGGCTGAAAAAGACACTCCGACTGGCGCTTAGCTTATTACCAGCACCAGTCCCGGCTGACATATCTCATCAGGGTCAAGGCATCAAGGCACCTGACGGCTCCGATAGCACTGGACGTGCCGGCGAAACTTCAGGAAAGTGCAGGCTGCCAACAACGGACAGGGAGCAACCAAGACAAGAAGAACAAATGAGGAAGCAATTAGCCAATGTAGCCGAGTGCAGCGTGTGCGCCGACTTGGCTCCCAAGGACCAGATGTGCCGGTTTGGATGCAAGCATTACTACTGTCGCCACTGTCTGGAGACAGCGGTCCAAACAGCAGTCAAAGACAGGAGAGTGTTCAAATGTTGCAGGAAACAGGCCGAGCCGAGTGTTGTCTGTCGGTGGCTTCCCGCGCAAGTTCACAGCGCGTACACGGCCGTGGTCGAGGAACTAACGACCCCCAACCCGACGTACTGCCATAGTAGGAGATGCTCAGCCTTCATCCCTCCGGTCCAGTACGTCGGCGACACGGCACTGTGTTCCCAGTGCTCGACCGAGACCTGCCGACTGTGCAAACAGAAGGTACATCCTGGAGTCGTATGCGAACAGGACAGCGGAGGCCAAGCGTTGCTGCGCCTGAGCAAGACCAGGAAGTGGATGCAGTGCCCGAATTGCAAGAACATGGTGGAGCGGAGCGCGGGATGCCTCCATATGATTTGTCGGTGCGGGAGTGAGTTCTGCTACAACTGTGGGAAGTCCAGCTGGCGGTGTCGCGGGGACAAGTGTGCTCGAGGGTGATGCAGCCTTGTGCAGCCTCGTTCCAGCTCCATGATCAGCCTCGATATATAACGAGTATTTCTCTGACGTCCTCAGACCCAGCGGACCCACAATCGCATGCACTCCGCACTGGGCAAGAGATGTAATTGAACTGGACTCAGGATCTTGTGTCCTCATTAGTCAAACGTAATACCAAGTCCCCGTCGAACTACACGGCGAGGAAATAGTAAACCCTGCTTAGCTCGCCCTTTATCTTTCCCCTGATGGTCTAACCGCTGGCCATGTTGTAAAGAGGTTATACCTTCGGACCAAGGTACAGTCCTGCTTTGTTCGCCCTCTGTCTTTCCCCTAACGCTCTAGCCATCGGCCATGTTCTACAAAAGGTTATGCCTTCGGACCAGCGTACAATCATTCCGAAAGATCCACCGCAGACGACCTCCAACTCACCAGCAACAAGGGAGACACACGGGAAGAAGATGTCAAGAGCCTGCATGGCATGTCGAGAGACCAAATCAAAGGGAGGTGGACCAAGCTCGCTCCCAACACCATACTGAGCTCGATACGGTCATCAGATGAGCGGTCTACTGGTGAGCTACTCAGCCTCGTCCACGCAGGGCGGCCGGTGGAGAGATAATCCAGTATGCCAAAAGCATTCTCAGTCGCAATGAGCTTCGAGGCAGATCACGCACGCGGCTGAGACAGGCTGTTATGGGCAATGCCTCGTTGACTGACGATCCACCCATCCGTCTGCCCGCTTCCCCATAGATCGAAATCACCTGGGACGACGAAGCGGTATCACATCTGATCTCCATTTATTTCACCCGGCATCACTGCTGCTACCCGGTCGTCGACCAAGACGTATTTGTAAAGTCGATGAAGTCGAAGGATTTGACCAGCCACTTCTGTTCTCCCTTTCTAGTCAGTTCGCTTTCACTGGTTGCACGCCTAAGTAAATTTCATCTCCGACATCCATTCATCATGTTCGCTTGTCCCCGAGCAAGCAGCCCAGAACTACACCGACCATCCCGCTGCCTTTGCCAACCCGGAAGACCGCTCGACCAGAGCGATGCACTACATGGAACAGAAGTGGACGAGATTATGGAACCTCGAGCAAGGCAAGGCAAGTTTGGCTAATTTGCAGGGCTTGCCTTCACTGTTCTCGTGGTGAGTTATGGACGACGTTGCAGAATTGCGCTCCCCACTGTCCCGACTGAAATTCTTTGCCCACAGTGCCGTCTTCCTAGGCAAAGATCGTGTCGGGCGCACTGTATACTAGCGAATCCGTCACCATCGCAGCTGAGCTTGTGAGACACGTCAAAAAGAGCTTGCGACGGGGAGAGCCCGAGTACACGACCAAAGAATTCCAGCGATCGTCCAGTCTGGCTCTGCGGGCAGCATTCAGTATTCAAACGTTGAGTCCATCATGCAAAACACACGCAAGCCGAAAATTGTGCGAGAACCGACTGAGAGGTTTGGGGTTGTATGTATAGCGAAGTCGCCTTAGCATGGATGAAACCCCTTGATTTACGACTCCCGACGTGCAGCGCACCGTACGATGAGCAGGAATTAGCCACCGAAAGCCTCGTGGCAACCATACCCAAGCCCCGGTCCGCGTGCGCCATTTTGCCCTCATGCAGTAAACAACGAAAGATTTCGACTCTACATCGATGCGGCGGACCTGTTGCCTTTGGTGTTGATGGGGAATCCACCAGACAGTCCGTTGCCCCGTCACGTCGTCCTCGGCCTTGAGGAGAGATTGGAGCGGCTGGCCGACGTTGAGCTCCAGCTTTTGGGCTGATATCAGTCCCTTCCCCTGAGGGCGCGGTGCGAGCCCGAATCATCTCCAAGTCTAGCTGATCCCCAGGTCGATCTGTAGTAAGTTTGTTGCTTGCTTTTGAACCGTGGATGGCTAATTTTTGGGGGTTCAATAAACAGTCTCGCATACTACGGGTTCTACATTGCCGCACAAGCCCTCGTCATTCGCGCAACGCCGGCCGAACAAGGCCCCAAAAGACGAGAGGTCGCCAGGGGCAAAATAATCCGCGCCTGTTACTGCGTCGCGAGCCTCTTTCAATGGGGCCAGCGCACCATCGGCCTGACCTATTTCGGCGTCGCCTGGATGCCCGCCGCTTCCGTCTGCGCGTTCAATCTCGTCGACCACATGGCCCAGGCCGGCGTCGCGGAGACATTCCACACGCCGATTGTCGTGTTGGCCAACGTCTCGACGCGCAGGACGCTCGCGCCGGACGTCGTGAAATTCATCTGGATCATGCTCGAGGAGCGTAAACTCGACGCGCATCTCGACGCCGCCACGCGGAACCTGTTCAAGCTCAACGCCGTGGACAACTGGGGCGCGCAGGACGACGAGTTGTTCGACTTCGGCGCCTATCCGAATTATGCCGCTATTTCTGAGAGAAGTCGTGATTTTGTCGAAACGGGAGAGCGGTTGCACGAGTATGCTGCCCTGCATCTTGTCTAATGCCGATAATATTGAAAAGTAAAGCATACATACCGGTATGTCGGCAACCGAGTAAGTAATAGAGCAACCACGAGCCGAGAGAGGAGTAAAGACTGTACAGCCATCTCACCCGGGCTCCGATGCATTTGGGCCCGTCGTGTCTTTGCGTGTGGTGCCCTTGACGAGCTTGGTCTCCAGTCCAGAGTCCATACGGACGCGCTTTGCACACTTCGAACACTCTTGCTTCCACCTGTGCCCAGCTTTTTGCTCGTGTGGATCGATCGAACATGATGTCCGACGCTGGTGGCGCTGCTTATATGCATATATATACTGCGCAGAAGTGAGTGACGACCATCCAGGAATGTAGCGTCTGGCCTGGAGTCCTGGGCCATATTTGTGGAGAGCTCGGTATGTGGATATATCGTATATGTATATTCCAATGTCGAATGTCCAATATCGAGCGTAGATAATACAGAACGCAGAACATGGACCGTCATGCGAGATGAGATATACATCGTAATCTTGATTCAATACATCTGCCTGCCTGCATTTACTTCAGTATATTACATATCCATGGATTTATACACTCCTTTGGTGGTGCCCGTCATATGCGCAGGGGATACTGGGACGGCATTACCGGTGCGTTCCTGGATTCATACTTCTCTCTCTCTCTCTCTCTCTCTCTCTTAGATACTGTGATTCGTTCCGGGGTTCACCATTTCCATCGGCGAGGCGCCACTCTCACAGATCCCGTCAATACCTCTCCGGCATTCGTCGCTGTACCTTCCTCTCTGCTACTACGTCCAAGCTTTGGCTTGCCTTGCCCTCTACCGTCCTATCCATCCTTCCGGTATCAAAATCGAACCTACCTCCTCTACCCCTCGCTCCATAACCAGCAAGTTGTAGGCGGCTGCTGCGTTGGGCGTGTCCATTACATCGAGCTTGATGCCTAGTTCCTCGGACAGATATCTCCTCGTTTCGCGAGAGAGCATCCACAATTTGCGACCCGTGCCGACGAGGAGGAGGTCTGGTTTGGGATAGAGGAGTGAGAGAAGGCCGAGAGTCGACGGCGGGAAGTTCAACATCCCGCGGGGGTCGAGAAACACCGTAAAGCCTTTGTATTCTCCGGTTCCGCTTCCGCTCGTCTTGCTTGCAGCATTCCCGCCAGAGGAGGCCTCATCGGTAGCGGCAGCACTAGTAGTTGTAGGCATCCACGGCCGCCACAGAAACGCTTCTCCGCCCACCAGTATCACCCCTTGTCCGCCCGATGTCTGCACGCCATTGTTTAAATGAAACCCATCGCTTGTGCAGGCGTCGATGGATGTGGCGGGTTCCTCAACCCCCGCGCTGGCCAGAATGTCCATTTTGGAGAAATCCGTCTGCGTGTCTTCTTTTGAAGGGGGGCCACGGTCGCGGTGTTTCGGCGCGCGAGGGTTGATCTGTCTCGAGCGGCTGGTGGGCGTTAGAGACGGGGTGGCCGGTTTAGAGGAAGAAGAGGAAGAAGAAGACGCTTGCTGGCGGCTTGGGGCGGTTGTAGAGAGTGGACGAACATGTCTCGCCCGAAAGGGTAGAGTGTAGCATGTTTGGCGTCGTGTGAGAGAGATAACTAGGGGGCGTTGTGCTTGAGATGGGTTCGTATGTAGAGACGAGGCCGTTGCTGCTGCTGCGGCGGCGGCGGCGGCGCGACGAAGCGCCCGGAGGAGGTCGATTGAGGGAGCAGGAGCTCGCATCGTGAAGGTCGGCTCTAATTGACGAGGAGTGAGGGAACAAGAATGAGAAAGAGCGGAAAAGGCCCAAGCTCAGGCAAGGCAGGAGAGAGAGCTCCTGGCTAATTCAGGATTTTTCAGCAGACCCAACTCTGTGCGCGAATGATGTAGAAAGGCACTGAATGGGCAGGAGTCAGGAGGAACGCCGCATTATCCGTCCATTGAACCCAGAATTATCGCCGTCGTTGGGGTGATGTAGAAGGTCGGTCGTGAAAAGGGTTACCAGCGGCAGTTTGATGGTGTTTGCGAAACCATGACTTCATCATACTTGATCGTATAGGGTAATAGGCCGTAGGCCGTCTGCAATGCGGGCGGAGCGCCATGCTACTAACAGGGACTATGTACCGCCACCGAATAGCTATACGCAATCGAACCTCGTAGTATGGACAGCTACACTCCAACGTAATATCAATCTACCGCCACTACAGTGCTCGTAGCTTCGCTTTCAACTTGAGACTCTCATACTGGGACATGTTCACATATATTATTCGGTAATTTTCCCCCCTATTTGGACGGAGTTCTCTTCACGCAGACCTCCTCAATACGAGTGGAATGCCACCAGACTCGGGATCAATCAAATAGTCCCGAGTACATGTCTCCAATGCACCCTGCATCTTTGCCCGCCTACATGGATAGAAAGATACCTTACCCATCGCAATGCAATGCACCACCATGCACAAAAGGAAAAACATTACATCTGACATGCTTGAGCTCGACCTCTTCTTGCTCAACGTGCCTCAAAAGTCGTTGTGAGATTATCAAATATGCCGTCAAAGCTTCCCAAAATTACAAAATGCACAACCCAACAACGGCAATAACAACCGCAAGCAGACTTCCCTTGAGCACAGTTTCACTGTTGCCGCCAATCTGGCCCGCACCATTGGAAGAGTCTCCCCCATCACCTTGCACGAACCCCGTCGAGGCCGCTCCGGTGGCGCTGGCGCTGTTATCTCCCGATCCTGAACTGCCGCTGTCGTTTCCACTGCTACTCGTGGTGTTGTCGCCACGGCCGCCGTTGGTGCCAGTGCCCACGCCAGAAAGACCGGGAATAGTGGCCGGCTCGCTTGTCTTGGACGAGCCACTTGAGCTGGCGCTGCCACTGGGATAGCCGGCGGACATGTTGGTGCCGGTACCGAGGAATGATTTCAGCACGGTATTGTCATTGGTCACTTCGACAGTGTTGTTGGTCATGGCCGCGTCAGTGAAGATGTAAGACTTGGTGCCTTGCACGTTCGCACCGGCAGGTGGATCGTAGCACTGCACCGAGACCGAGTCGAACTGGGCGTAATAGTAGCCGTTGGTCATGTACGGCGAGTCCCATTGCACAAGACCTCCCGCCCATTCAATGGTTCCTTCGCCGTTGGATGGGAGACCGCCGGGCCACAGGGACAGCTGCACTTGGCACGGGGTTTGAGGGTAGTAGTATCGGTTTGCCGTCGCATTCCAGGTGTCTTCGCGGTTCAAGGTGCGGACTGTATTGCCGTCGATGGACCAAGTAATGCTGTCGGGTTGCCAGTCAATTTCATAGTCGTGGAAGTTTGCATGAACATCTGAAAGACCGGTAGTGTTGCCGCCATTGGTATCTAGAATCCCAGTCAGCAGGCTTATTCCCATTTGGGTGGGGGAGACCCTTGAGAGTGTTGCTTACAGACTGGTACACCCTGAGAGTAGAAGTTTGTTTGGGCACTTGTCAACTGCGTCCCGACGAACTCGAAATCGATTTCGTCCTTGGAGTTACCGAGCAGGATGAACGCAGTGACCACACCAGCACCAGCAGAAGTGGCAAACCTGGCACCGACCTTGCCATACCATACGAAATGCGTGCTAGTTAGCAGTGTGCCCACTGTTCCCTCGGCCATAGTCAGCAGCACCGAGTTGTTGTATTCCAAGGGACTGCCGGAGGAAACCCAGTCGGCCTGGGTAGCATCTCCCAGGTACTTCGTGTTGGGCATAACACGGTCGAGGTTATTAAAGTTATAAGTTTGGGATTGACAGACGGGTGCGGGCACGCAGGAATCGAGGCTGGCTGAGTTGACAGGATCACATCCCCCCAGACAATACGCACCAACACCACATTGGCCATACTCTGTCACCCCATTGATTGTCAGTATCTCGATCTTGTTCGTCACACGACATGTATATCGGGGTCAATGGACATACGCGAACAGCAGGGAGTGTCTGATGGGCATAGAACACCACCGCCACACTTTGTCTGAGCAAAGACTGCGGGTGCCAACGCCGTGGCAATGAAGACGAGTGAATGTAAGACTCGGCCCGCCATTGCGGTGTTTTTATTTGTTTTCGTTTTCTCGGGTTCGGTCGGTCGATGCGTATGCAGTCGTCAATGAAAGGGCGACGGCACCACGCACCAATATACGATGAATGCCCCGAGCCCAATACAAAAAGATTTGTTATTGCAGAATTGAGTATCACGACAGGTGGGGATGCTCTAGTCGTCCGAGGCACAAAGAACGAGGTTTGAAGATTCGTCAGATGTTGCTGAGCGAGAGACGGAATCTGCGGGAAATTGGGGGTTGGAATCGAACAAAGGGGCCACAGCACTCGCGGGAGAAGGCAGCGAACGAAGCTAGCGAGAGTGAAAGGGGCGCTGTAGATAAAGAAGGATGCAAAGAAGATGGGATTACAACTGATGATGAGGTCGGAGTACGAAGAAAAGGACAAAGAAGAGACGAGGAAGCAAGGAATGGCGAGTGACACGGAGCTGAGATGTTACAAGGAGACCGCATTGGGCGCAGGCGAAGGCGAGGAGAGAAAAAGAGACTTAGCCAATGTTACTATGCTTGGATTGACGAAGGTGTTGACCATTCCAGTGTCGGCGCCCTGTCTGTGAGTGGCTCTAGGTGAGTCTGGTGAGGACCCAGGCACACATAGCGGGTGCGTAGGACCCGAGATCCAGGCCCACGAGCGCCGTGACTGGTCCGGGGCAGTCCAGGGGTTCCATTGCGTGACGCGGCGCCTGAAACATGGCCAGGGATGGACGTTCCCAGGTGCCTACCGTAAGGGCAGTTGCCACGCCTGGGGAAGCCCGTTAATACCCGTTAAACCCAGATCGGCTAAAGAGTCAAGAGATGGTGGCGGGAGGTCCCTTCAATGGCGGCGTGCTGTGGCTGTGCATCCCCAGATGTTCCATCACCCATTCTGGACGTGCTTGGTCCTTGTCGCTGGGTGGTTGATGGGTATCCTCTTGTTCCAGATTCAAGTTTCCCACGTTTGATAGACGTCCTCGATGATAGTGTGATAAGGACTCCCACGCGGCTGAATCCTCCTCGCCTCCTCCCGAAGCTCTAAGCTCACGTGTCGGGGCCCCTCCCACTGCCTTATACGGTAGTGACTTCAATGCGAGTCATGAGAAGCAGACAAGGGAATAAGAGACCGTCACCATCACCATCGCTGTCTTTCTCGGCCGGGTCGATGCGTGTCGGTCCGTCAATTCTAGAATGACCATCTGACCAAAGTGGCCCCAAAGCAACCTGTAATACACACGCTCGCACTCACCCCATGGCGGAAATCAGTCCGACAACCCTGATGGGCCCCCAGGCTCGAGGCATTCAGGGCACATCCGTCTCGCCATCCACGCCTGAAGCTGACCTCCAACTCCGGAAATCCATGACTGGTCTTTCAAGGCGTGTGGTTTCTTCCTGAGGCTCGTTCTCAATAGAGACCACCAAGACCACCCAAGTTGCAAGAACGGTAAGCCGGAATGTTCCGCATCGCGAGCTGCCCGCATTCGAGCTTGTCAGCCAACTCGATTCCATAAGCATCCTCTTGTCTGATATAAATATATAGTCAAGTAAAGCTCGCCGAAGCGTCTCATCAACTATTATATCGAACCTGCGAGGTTTGGTGACCGGTAGACAAAATGGGCTCAATCGAACCAAAGAGACCATTTGAAAAGGTAACGCTGATTCCCAGCAATCCTTGCTCAACTTCGATTGTCCCGTCGAGGGCAGGGTGTTTGTTCGATACGCATATAGGGAACTCACCAGCTCATAATTAGGTCATAATCGTCGGAGCCGGTCCGGCCGGGTTGCTCCTCGCTCTATTACTCTCGCAACACGACATCCCGTCCTTGGTGTTAGAGTCATGGGATAGACTGGACGAGCGACTCAGGGCAACCCAATATGGGGTCCCTGCCACCAAGATATTCCGTCGGGCAGGCATCCTCGACGATATCCGGGAACAAAGCATCGCTAGCTTTCCCAGCATCTGCTGGCGTCGAGTCAGCGACCATGAACGACTGACGGGCATTGATCTGTCCGTCGTTAAAGACCACCCAGACCGCATGACGATCCTGCCGCTCAACCAGATCATCCAAATCATGTATAAGCACTGTCTGGAAAAGGCCAACGGGCTGGTCGAGGTCAAGTTCAACCACAAAGTCGTTGGTACAGGTCAGGACGACAGGTCTGCCTGGGTCGATGTCGAGGTTGGTGCAGAAGGGGAAGCCAAGGAGAAAAAGAGGATGACCGCCGATTATGTTATTGGGTGCGATGGAGCAACCAGCACAGTGAGGAAATCTCTGTTTGGCAGAGAATGGCCCGGTCAGACATTTGATTTCCGCCTGATGGTCCAGAATGTCTGTCTCTCTCCCCAAGGCCTTCTTCCCCCCTGGTGTTGTAAACAGACGTCATAGCTGATCGGAGCAACAGGTTTGGTATGACGGCTTCGAGAAACATGGTTGGGACGGAGGCAATTATATGGTCGACCCGGACTTCTGGGGTCTGATTGCAAAAAGAGGCAAGGGCGGCCTGTGGCGTGTAACCTACGGAGACAGCGCCATCGGTCTCTCTGATGAGGAGTACCTTGAGCGGCGAAACAACGCCTTCAAAAAGTTACTGCCCGGCCATCCAGACCCCGGCGAATATCAGATCACCCAGACCGACCAGTTCCGGATCCATAACCGCTGTGTCGAGAAGATGAGGGTGGGACGAATCATCCTCGCCGCCGACGCCGCTCACGTGTGTAACCCATTCGGTGGCTATGGTTGTATGACGGCAGTTCTGGACGTCGGTGCGCTGGCCGACTGCCTCACCGGCTTGTACGAGGGCAAGGCCGACGAGAGCATCCTTGACCTGTACGCCGACATCCGCCGAGAGAAGTTTCTGAAGTATGTGGATGCACGGTCCATGAAGAACATGAACAGGATCATGCACACCGACCCCAACACGGTTCTAGAGACCGACAAATTTCTCCAGCTGCTCAAAGGTCTGGAGGGCAACGGGGAAGCGACAAGAGCATTTCTGTTGGTAAGTTTAGTCACACGATTGCCCTCGTGTCCACGTCAAAAGCAGGACCCTCGTGACTGATCTGTGAGAAACCTCAGAAATATTCCAGCATCGAACACGACTTCACTCAGTACTATAAACAAACGTAAGGGGGACACGAAGGCGGGAAAAATCTTTGCGGCTTCGAGCCCCATTGACAGGGGCTAGGTACCTTCGCCCTTTTGCTGGGCGTTCTCGGCCCTGAGAACGACGAGCGTGAATATCAAGCCGGGGAAATAGACCAGTGAGACTTTGCAGTCCCTGGAGAACGGGGCAAGGGCGTGAACGGAAGCTCTAGCTGAAATGCAAGACGGGACAGGCGGCCACACCGCTGCTGATCTTGCGGACTAAGGACTTTCGAATACGAGGAGAGAACCACTATCCGCTTAGAGAGCAGAATCGCTTCCTTTTAGCAATTTGCGGTTTGGAGCGGTTCGATGTTTTTTCACCCTTTTAGAGTCGCGACAGCCTGCATGAGGAGTTTCTGAATCGCTTTGTCCGCATGCTTTAGTTGAGTGGTGTCGGTGCCAGCTCGCTTCGTCAACAATAGTTCTGGTGGAAGGAGGATGTCTGGTTTTGGTTTTGGCTTTGGCTTTGGCTTAATGGTCCTGGACGCCTCTTTCAGGAGCCCTCGCATGTCCTCCCCAAGTGACACATCTGCCTGTTCTCTATGCCCACTTGTGATTTGCAGACCGCCTCCGTTATTCTCCCTCTAATTGTTGGCAAGGAACAGATTCCGCCCCGTGCAAACAACTGCTTTGGTCTAGACCTGGCGGATTTCTCTGCTTTTGTTTTTTGGGCGTTTTCAGTGATTCCTCCACGTTGACTGTGGCTATAGAAAGCTCAGCGGCATGGGAGCATTTCTTGACCAGTCTGTGCACTATGACTTGATGTCTGATAACATCTCGCGTCGCTAGTAGATGGTGCAGTTGTGCCCTTTCCACATCATTTTACATATGTGTTGGGGGTAATTTCCGAGATCCGACCATATGCGTTACTCCATTGTAACCACGTACCTGCACGATAGAGGAATAACGCAAAAACAAGTCGGCTCGAGAGGTGCACTACGGACACCTACCTATGCACGAGCTTGTCCGTAGGGCTCCGAGAGTGGAACTTGAACTTACCAAAGCTATGAAAGTCTTGAGCTGAAGCTTGGCCGTTCGAGTGACGATCTGTCTGGCGCGTGGTGCCAAGAATGGTCAGGGCGGTTATAGTGTCGTCCGTAAAGTTTCAAGAACGAAAGGGCTGTTCGCCTGTACCGACTGCAGAATGCTTGTTTTCCCACGTCAAAACAGGCCACAGTACTCTGTCTGTCCTAAGATGGGATGGGATTGCAAGGCAGAAAGGAAGGGGTGAGGATTTGTCAGCGAGAGAGCCCCACGGTTCACTATCGTCGTGCATGAATTAGTGCTCCGTAACCTGTGTCACACAGGAGGTGGCGTGGTGTTCCCATCTCGCGCTAGCCTGTTCCCCATTGTAGATCGGGACTCAGGCAATCGGTGGCTGGGAGAAGGTCGGTTGCCGGCAGGCCAAAGATTAAATTGCATGTCTCTCAGGCTCCATACCTACATAAAGCCCATGCGTCGAAGATGCGGACATTTCTATCTCGTACCCTCAAAGCGAGAAGACGGACTTTTTCTTGGGAATTTCCGCTTGACTATTTCGTGGCGTGCATGGCGGTCGTCGGACATCAAACCTGGATCGTCAGCATATGCCGACCACACATCAGCCTGTTCTGCATTGAGCCACTTCTGTGACCTCGTCGTCGCCGTTGGTAATCATGTCTTGCAACGCCTCCCAGCCACATGGCAGGAACAGCGGTGTTGGAGCATTGGGCCAGACTCCGCTCCGAACACCCTGACTTTCAGGAGCATCTCGACCAATTTCCTGGCGACAATCCTGATTCCCTCAGGAAGCCGTTGGTATATCTCGTTTAGGAGAAAGCCGGTTGTCGGGAGGCACAAGGGTGTCGGATTCGGCTTCGATGGTTGTCTCGACGCGCCAAAGCACAACACTACCGAACGAGTGCGGCGTCCAATTAGGCATACCTATGAGGATTGAACCCAAGGGGGATGTCGCTGCGAACACGGCCGCCCCGGTCCGCACTGGATTGAAGGGTGACGGTAAGCGATAAGCACTACCCGAAGAGGTCTCTCGCTTGGTGTGGTCTGTATCATATTCTGCAGCCTCAAGGAGAGCCAAAAACGGCGTATTGCTTTCTTTGCCCAAGAATCTGGGTGTGGGAATCCTCCTGAATTAGCATCTTCAATGCTGGTGTGGCAAATGAACCAGTCACGGGCGTGGCACAACAGGCCGTTAACCCCCTAGCGTGTGTCCTTTGTTTCGCCTCGCCAAGTACGGAGTATTGAGGAGGGATTTGATCCAGGTCAATATACGGGCCATCACGGACCAAGGAGATACATAGCGTTAGAAGGTCCAGAGGATAGGAGGAACCATTCGGAGTAGCGGTGGCCGATCGTGACGGGTGTGGCTTGCTGGACAGCGACTTTGACAGCGCGTCGAAGATTGACGATGTTGTCCACCGACATCCGCTGTTTGTGGGCTTCCCTTGCGCCAGGCCGCCGGTCCTCGGTACTCTACAATAGGTTAGCATTGCGACAATGGTCTCGAGGAGCGTACTGGGGGGGTGGCCTAGGGAGCGCCCAAAACCTCAGCTGGAGGAATACGGGGTATTTTGGTGCTGCGGTCTGTACTCGGTGGTGCCTTGGTTTGCTCGTTGCAGTGGAAATGGAAAATTCCCGCAGTGTGCCCCGTGGTTAGGCAAGCCGCCAAGCGGCAACCAACTGACCAGCAACTCCACCAGCCTTTTTTTCTGGAGGCCCAACAATGGGTTCGCCCAGATTGTCGCCAGATTATCGCCAGATTATCGCCAGGCTGATGATTGCACCCCCCTTTTTTCTTGCTGAGGTTGCTTTCGGCTGTCGGTGCTTGACGCCCTTGTCGCTGGACATCATTGGCCATCGGTCTCTCCTCAGGCCAGCGGCTTTGGTCTAGCCTCTCCTGCTCCGAACCTGTTCCCCATCTTCCTCGACTAACTTCCACTGTTCGGCCTCGCCATTCGTTCCTGTTTCATCGTATGTAGCATTCCGTGCGCCTCGAAGTCACATGGAGGATTTTTTGTTTTGGTCAGACAGAGGAGAAAAGAGTTGGGTGTTCCTGTGTGGCAACTCGTATAGCATTGCTGGGGTAGCTGACTGCGCAACCACAACATTCAGCTGGGCCAAGATTGTAGTGTACATCTGCTTCGAAACGAAAAGACCAGTTTTAGAAATTCCTGGTGGCAGCCAAGGCTGAGCTGCTTGTCGAGGGCGAATGGGCGTTTGCACTGCAACCTGGTCGTCGAACCAGCGCTGGATTACCCGTTGTCCCTCGTGGTTGCGAGAGTTTTTGAGTTTCTTGTCAGTCAGATCAGCCGTCAGCATCGCCGTCTCAGCATGGAGGACCCTCTTCGGGAGGCGGTTGATGGCCCAATTTGCATTGACGCTGCTGGTCAAAACTGGTCATGGTGAACCGATTCAAAGACGGTCTAACAGGGTAGTTGCCTTAGCAGGGGCCGAACACGTCCAAGAGTGGAGCTGCGCGACACAGGAGTTCAATCTCGTGGTTGCTCCTTAGGCACCGATTAGGGTTGTTGCAACTTTCCATCCCACCGCAGCCCTTGTCGCTCGAGCATGGAGCATGGCTGAGCTTGTCCTTGCCAATTGAGGACAGAGAGCCAGGCCTACTCCGTGAGTTCGCGCTTCGGAAACCCAGAAGAAAACAAAGATAAGTCTTGCCCAGCCCCTCGTGGACCAACTTCATCAACCCATATTTTTCCTTCTCCTCGCCTGTGTGTCTGCCCCTTCGTTGTGTTTTGGACTGCTGTAACCTGTCAAGCTCATCAGTGATCCATCACTGCCGTTGCCTAGTCTCCCGTCAGGACATCCATTCCCCCCTTCTCCAAGAACATCGACCTTCTCTCCCTGCGCGTCTCGACGACATACGACATGGGTCAGACAGCATCCCAACCCGAGGGCGGCAAGACCCTCAAAGTCATCGGCGCCGGTCTCTCCAGAACGGGAACCACATCGTTCGGAGCAGCCTGTTCCTACCTCCTCGACGGCCCCTGTTACCACGGTGGTACTCAGATGCTGAACTCCCCCGAGGCTCACATCAAGCGCTGGATCGAGATCATCAAACACACCCCCGTGAAGAATGAAGCCGACCGAAAAGCCCTGAATGAGGGCGTCAAGGAGATGTTGGATGGATATGTCGCCTGCACAGATTTGCCCTCCAACGCCTTCGTCGAGGAGCTCATGGAGATCTACCCCGACGCCAAAGTCATCTGCACTGTCCGTGATCCCGATAAATGGTGGAACAGCTTGGCACCTATCGTGGAGAAGGGCAACTTGACCGTATTGTCCTGGATCCTGGCCCCTCTTCCGACCCTGCGATGGTTCCGAACATACCACGACGCCCTCGACGATGGCCGTGTCGGCGAGCTGTACTTCCGCCCCGGCGAGCCCAAGAGACCGACCAGAGCCATGTGGGACCGACACATCGAGCATCTGAAGAAGGTCGTCCCCAAGGAGAAGCTGTTCTTCTATGACGTCCGCGACGGCTGGGAGCCCCTGTGCGCGATCCTGGGCGTCCCCGTACCCAAGGATGTTCCCTTTCCCAAGCTGAACGATGCTGCGGCCATGGAAGGTTTCATGAAGAAGAGTGCCCAGCGAGGCATGATGGTGTGGGCTGGCATGTTGCTGTCTGCTGGCGCTGCTGCTTTCGCCGCGGCGAAGTACGCCCAACTGATCTAAAAAAAATTTGATGCTTGTTGCTGGCGGCTTCAAATGTTCTTTTATATGACGACATTGGTATCACTCGTCCTAGGGTGAAAGCAAGTCTGGACAGTCGAATGAATGAAAGGGTGTGAAAATGATTTCATACATCTCGAAATGCAAACACTATGGGCTCAGGTTATTAGGCGCCATGGGGAAGGAACAAATACGGCGGATGGGTTGGCGTCTTATGCAACAGTTAATCGATGACTATTCAAGTTGCTGGGGGTGACTGAACGTCCTAGATCAGTGGCAATTAGAGGGACTTTCGAGGCTGATTTCCGGGCCTCGGGGTCCAGCGCTGGATTTGAAAGGCTTCTTTGCAGACAGGCCGAGAGGCTGCTACGATTAATTTTTGTAATGCCAAATACTGGAAAACTGCGTCTTCGTCGTGAAGGTCCCGATCGCGCCTGAGCCCCATGTCGGTGATGGTGCCCCTTCGAAAGCGGAGCCTTATTGTCGATCATAAGGCTGAAAACCGGCCGCCCTCCATCTCAAAACAAAGCACGGAAGAGTCCTCAATGCCAAATTTGGGGGGGAAAAAGCACTCGCAAAAGAACAATATGACAGACTTGAAGGAGAGAAGAAAAACACAACAGACAGGTTGACAGAGAAATCCATTTCGTTTTGGTTGATTCTGATCCTTTCAATTAACCAGCATATCTATTACGTGGGCATCCCTTTTTATGGCGCCATTGCCCGCCAAGGAGACAGATCAGGGGGTGGAGACAGCGAACGCGCCCACAGCATCAGCTTGGCCCGGTCAGCCCTGTCAGGGCTGCTTGCGGCAATAGGATATATCCTGCGGCCGTCTGCCTTGTCTGTTGTAGGGATATTTCCATTTCCTCTGATTGGTTCTATTACATTTCGAATTTGTGACCTGTGGAAATCCCTTCACCATCCTCATCTAAAGGTAAGCACCATCATCCTGCATCCAGTTCGCACTGTGACCGTCTTTCTGGATTAGATCTAGTTTGCATGGCCGTAAATGACTGAAAATGGCGGCCTTTGAGAGGGTTGATTGCGCTCGTGCTCTTCGCGGGTTGTCACCTCCATCCTGTTTCAACCATCCAAAGCCCGTGGTGTTCTCGTCAGGCTGAGCTTGGCGGCAGAACGGTCTGGACCGTCCTGGGGAATCCTGGAGGTATCTGCCGGTCAAATCACGACCAATCTGGGCAGATGCAGTAACCGAGCTTCATCCATCATGCATAGTTTGGATATCATCAACCAGCCTGCCACTGGTCGAAGGGGTTCATGGGATTTGAAATTTGCCATGGGTGCCCATACGAGCACAATCATGTTAATCCCAGCCCGATCGAGGGCAGATACATATCCGTACGCGGTATAAAAAGACAGGATATGCCGGACATTAAATTTGGCCCTAACCGCCTTTCACATACCTCATCTATTTTGTGTCGTGAGGAAGTTCGTTAACACCCATGTCATGACGTCGTTGATATGCCGCCAACTTCGACGGTGGATGTTGCATGTCGTACATTTGCTGTGGGCCCACCATTCTGCTGTCTGCTTCGCGGTATATCTGCTAGTTGGGGTGCTGACTATGGAGGTGGAAGTTATGTGAACAGTGGTTTGCGCATCTAGCGCCGATGTCGTTGTGACCTCCTTTGTCGTTGTGCTCGTGCGATATTCAGTAGAGATGATCGTGGACGTTAAGTCGACGATCGTCGTGGCGTGAATCGTTGTGTACACAATGGCAGTCGTGGTGATAGCCTGGATCTTCTGAGACCGTGGCTCGGTTCAACGAAAGGGGTGATTGGGTTTTGCGAGGGGTCTTCGTAAACGCCTTGGGCTTGAGACGAGGAAGACGCATAGTTGGTAGACAAAGCAACTGGTTTGGACTTGGATGGAGGAATTGCGGTCTCGGCTGAAAGTAAGTGGCGAGCTCTGTTGGCCATTCGTATGCCCACTGTGGTTGCATCTACCACGGTAGCTGTTTCACCATTTGATGCTTTCGCCACGTCGATGTTCGTCACAGTCTCCGTAACGATTTCAGTGGCATAAGACGTCTCATACCATGTGACGTGCACGAAAATTTGCGAGGTAATAGTGGACGTGGATGTGAACACCTGGAAGCTTTGAATCATGGCCTTTTGACTTACGTAGGTGTTGCACATTGAGAGTTCTCAACAGCAGGCAGCACCATCCAGTGCTCTCTGTAGTGTCGGTACAGCAGAGATAGTTGTCCGAACAATAGGCTGCTGCGTTGTCTGGAAAACAGTAGTTGTTGCGTTTCCTCAGTGGATCGTACAAGCCTCGTGGAATCTGAACACGATTGCTTAGCCGACTTGCAGAAAGGTAGACAAAATCATAAAGCTGGTCAAGCACTGTCGTGCTCGTACGGTAAACGTCTTCCGGCTCGAGATCGAGCATGTCTTAATTAAGCACGTATTCATTCTGAGATAAGCTGGCTGGACCTGTGATTGCCTGTGAGGCACAGAACGAAGAAGACAACAACTAAAAAGAGCACAGCATTGGTGATGACCAGATTGAAAGGCAAGAAGATCGACGTCTCCCTGATCGGAAATAGCGGGAGGGCCTCATTTCATGCTCAGTACAGGGTACATTCGGTGCTTAGCCTCGCCCCCACGGGGACTCAGAGAACACCAACCTTTTGTTCAAGCAAATCGCGGCAGGCGTTAATGAGACGTCGGTCGATTCTAAGTGCTCAAAGAGTCGCCCGGCCCGATCGACGCTGTTTCATGGGTACCGAGTACAATCTTTCCAATCACGCCCCAGAAACTCCCTCATTAAGATTAGCTCGCACACTTCTTCGAGAAGTCCTGGACTGGATATGAACCCCCTTCGGTGGTCGATCAAGTCAGAGACCTCTAGAAGCAACCTACGGTGTTTGGAGAAAACATGAAGAATTTTTTGATCAGCCATTCACCTGGAGCTCACCTCCGATGTCGAGAATCGTATCGAGGGGATAATACTCCCTGAAACACCTGTGGCTGGCCAAACACACAGACATTTCGTTTTCGGTGGAGTTCCGCGCCATGCTGCATATGCTAAATGTTATGCCCTTGACCGCCTCTGCTTTGTACACGACAAGGCAGACAGTGGAAATGCGGGTAGCGGCCACTCGGCTTAGTGTTACCTTCTCAAACGATTAGAAAAAATTTGAAGTATTGAAGTGGTCCCTCAATTGTCCTTCGTGGAAAGGTCTGATTCGCGGTATAGACTAAGCGGTCAAAATACCAGTTTGTGCCCAGCAAGGTGTACTCGGGAGTTGTAAACATGTAGAGATTGGCGCAGTTCAAAGAGAGAGAAACCGTAAGTGGCGAGGTAGGTAGTCAACTCTAATGAGGCTCGGAAATCGGAACTTACAAGGACAATCCGAACGTCCCTCCAAATGATACGCACAGATTAATCAGGATGGTCGAGTACTCCGTACCTCGTACTTCGGTGGTTGTGCTGTCATCCTCTGTGAGTGATTGGGGACTGCTCCAGCTGTGGCAACGTACATAGATGCAAGGTGACACAAACATCCTGAAGAATATGAAGGTGAGGAGGAGGCCCGGCTTTGACTGCCCGAGATTGAGTCGGCAGGCATGAAAGGAAGAGCATGTATGGGACGGATAGAAAGGGTAGCGCATATGGCCGTTCAAGGCTTCCTTTCGCTGCACGTGACATTCCGCTAAGCCCTAATCGGGTCACCAGGTCCCTCAATGGCGCCTGCACCCTTCTTGACCCTTGTGACGCTTGCGCTTGACATATACAGTCACTGTCATCCGGGCAAAGAGACACTCATCAACATTAATTGTTGTATGGCTTCTTCAAGCTCGACTCTGCAGCCTCCAGTCTGCATATAAGAGCCAGAGCAGTCAGTCACCATGACGCGAGAAGAGCCCCTGCTCGCCCGGCCTGCCTCTCCCACCTCGTCTACGAACGATATCGAAGAGGAAGACGCGCTCCTCACGGGTCAGCCAACCGATAGATCCCATGCTAAAAAGTACCGAAAATGGAGGGAAATCGGTCTCTTTGTCTGGGCTCTTCTTGCAACTGTAACCGTCATCATTCTAGGTGTTGTGTATCAGCATGAATCCACAGTCGCACGGGCGAGGCCCAGAACAGGAGGATGGGGACCGGATGGAAGACCATCTGGCAAGAGAAACATGATCTTTATGGTCTCGGACGGCATGGGCCCAACATCCCTCTCAATGACCCGCAGCTTCAGACAGTACACATCCGGGTTGCCTATAGACGACGTCCTGATTCTCGACAGACATCATATTGGCTCCTCGAGGACTCGAAGCAGCAGCAGTCTGGTGACCGACTCGGCTGCTGGTGCCACTGCCTTCTCGTGCGGACTCAAGAGTTACAATGGGGCCATTGCTGTTCTACCCGATCACACCCCATGCGGAACAGTCCTGGAGGCTGCTAAAAGAGCCGGTTACATGACAGGACTGGTCGTCACTACAAGGATCACGGATGCCACTCCTGCCTGTTTTGCCGCCCACGCGAATCGAAGAGAATATGAAGATCTTATTGCAGAACACATGATAGGTAACTATCCGCTAGGTCGTGTTGTGGACTTGATGATCGGCGGTGGAAGATGTCATTTCCTGCCCAACACAACCGAAGGTTCATGCAGAGCGGATGGCAAGGACATCGTTGCCATGGCCAAGGACAAATTCGGGTTCACGTACGTTGACAACAAGAAAGATTTTGACAATCTAAACCCAGAAGATGATGCACAACTACCGCTGCTTGCCCTGATTGCAAATAAAGACGTTCCATATGAAATCGATAGAGTGCATGTCGCCGACATTTATCCAAGCCAAGCCGAAATGGCTCGATTCGCACTCAAAGCCTTGTCGGCCGCAACAAGGGACTCTGATAAGGGGTTCTTTCTCATGATCGAAGGCTCCAGGATCGATCATGCGGGACACTTTAACGATCCCGGGGCCCAAGTACACGAGGTTATGGCCCACGACGAATCCTTTGGCGCCGTTCTAGACTTCCTAGAATACGACGAGACGGACGGCATCCTAGTGTCGACATCCGACCATGAGACAGGTGGTCTTGCCGCAGCCCGCCAATTACATGAAACGTATCCCATGTACCGCTGGTTCCCCGAGGTCCTCGCCAACGCTACACACTCGACTGAATACCTCGCAGCCAAGTGGAACGAGTATCTCTCCTCCAGCGCAGATACCTCACGCAAGGACGACGAGTCAAAGCTGCGTGATCTGATCACCTCTAGCCTCGGCATATCAGACTCTAGTCAGGAGGAGATTGATGCCATCATCGATGCCACACCGGTTTGGCCTCCCTTGTACCACTTCTCAGATATGATATCGCGCCGCGCGCAGATCGGGTGGTCTACGCATGGCCATTCCGCGGTGGACGTGAATATTTATGCTTCACACCCGAGTCACGCGCCGGGATTAGTGGGAAACCGTGAGAATATAGACGTTGGTGAGTTTATTGCAGAGTACCTGGACCTAGATCTCGGAGTCATCACGGCGGAATTGAAAAGTAAAAAGGTCAATATATCATCTCTGGCCGGAGATATGGAGGAGGACTGGGGAGAGTGGATGGGTCCCCGCGGTCTGCCAGTCAACGAAGACGGAAGTCTCATATCACTGGACGCATACCACGGGGATTACAAGCATAGAAAACGCGAGGCCGAAGCGATTGCAGATTGCGGTTGCGGCATGAAGCACTGAGGGTGAACCCGGGTGGAAGAAACAACTCTGATTTTAGCCGTCACGAGACGTTGACGGGCAAGGCAAAATGAATGAGACGCCAATATATTTGTGGAGTACCCTGCAGAAGCTTTAGATAAGGGCGTTTGACAAGAGGATTTCTCGACAGCGGGCGAAGTTTGTTCTGATGGTCGCGAGCTTTGGCTGTATACACCTGAGAAAGAATGCGTAAATTGATATACTCGAATCGATTAATCTCCATCTATGAAAACGGGTGCTGATGCATTTATTAAGGCCACCGAAGGTGGAAGTCCAGACCTCTTCTCCGTATTCTCGGTGGACTATTAAGGATGTTTCCTCTTCCATCGATGTGTGCGTGTGTGCTTTTCGCCGTACAGTCAGCCTCGTCCGGCCTCGTCATTGTACTCAGTGCGGGTGGTGGATGGGTAGAGGACGTTTCCAACGGCCTCGCAGCACCAAGGCCAAAAGCCCAAAAACGTAAAGCGAAAGTTAACCCTCATGCTCGACTTGACTTGACTTGACCTCAGTATCAGTCAGGACGAGGTACCCAGGATGAGGATGAGGATGAGGATGAGGATGAGGACCAGACCAAACACGCCTTCGCCCAGAAGTGCGAATTGCCCGAAGAAACGAACAATGCTCTCCCATGCGTGCCTTCCCACCCAAAACAGAGGGAAAAAATTGACGTGGAAAAGGAAAAACGGAAAAGTTGAAGAAAGGGATAGGAGGACTTGCGCAGCATGGCGGGACGTGTACTCGGCGAGGGGTATGTGCCAAATCTGCAGAGAAAGGATTATCCGGTACCAGTCTCTCTGTCCACCTCTATCTATCTGTGTACTGGGTATTGATCAATCAAACAATCTGACCATCAAAGCGACGACATGCAGGCAGGAAAATAGACAGACTATAGGACAAGTCATGACGAGAACACTGGGTAGTGGACACTGATCAGTTCATTGCTATTTCCTTGTGGGGATCTCCGTACCCATGTTTTAAATGCAATAAAAACGACACGCTAATGCTCGCAAGAGCGTACGGTATATACCCCGTACAACGGATAAAAACAAACGCCCTATTTGTTGGGGCTTGACTTCCATTACCTATTTTCTCCAGTTCAAAACAATAACCAAGAGCTGCTAATGCGACATGATGCTTTTCGGGCATTGGATGCATTCCTCATTTCTGTCGTTTCACTTGTCTATTATCCATCCCGACCTTCCTCCATCACCTCCCCGTCCTTCCACGAAGACCGTTTAGTTTCTCAACAGGCGCGCATTGCCGGAGGGAGGAGGGCAAGTGCCACCAATGTCAACAATCCACGCGGCGGAGTTGAATTCGGTGTGAATCTCGGCGAGTTGCCAGCCAGTGGGTCCGACGGTGGCGTCAGGACCCTTCTGCACGGCCTTCAAAAT